GGAGCACCTACTCCGTGTCACCGTACATCCTAAAGATGCTAAACCCAAAACTCCTAAACCCCAAACCCCAAAACTTAAGTGTTAACCTCAAGCTAAGCTCGAAACCCTAACCCACAGTTCCGGAACCCACCCTTACACCCTGGCCCTGGAGGAGCGCACCGCACAGTGACGTACAGGCTCCCTGTCTCGGAGAAGTTGAGATTGAACTGAATCTGCCACTTTGCCTGAAGGCGGTTCTGGGCTTTGGGGACTTAGGGTTCAGAGTTGCAAGATGAGAGACTCGACGTGTGCATTTGCATGTGTACAGTACGTAGGTATGTATGCACGTATGCATGTGTGCGTGAAAGCTTGCATGCATGTATTTTGGCATGTATTAGACTGTACTAGTATGTAATAGTATGTGCTGCTATGTATTAGCATGAATTAGTATGTACTAGTATATTAGTTCAGTCTTAGCATACTGTATCAGCATATATGTATGATTATGATTACGGTACGTGTGCAGGAATGTCTGCCAGCACGTATGTGTGAATATGTGAACGTAACATAAAAGAATGTATAATGTATGTAATTTGATGCATATAGTGTAACGTCAGGTAAGTGCGTAAGAAAGTGTGAGTGTATAAGTAAGTAAGTATGTATGTATGTAAGTAAGAGTAGGTAAGTGTAAGTAGGTGTAAGTAAGTGTAAGTAAGCAACTAAGCATGCGGGCAAGTAAACAAGTAAGCACGTAAGCAAGAAAGAACGTATCCAAGTAAGTAAGTGATTGAATAAGTACGTAGGCAGGTAGGTAGGTAGGTAGGTAGGTAGGTAGGTAGGTGACTACCAGGTAAATAAGTAGGCAAGAAGTTAAGTAAGTATGTACGAATGTATGTAGTGGCATTCCTGGTGTACCTCTACCAGTGCTTTACTTGCAAAACACCCTTATCCCATCAGAAGGGCGGTTCAGGACTTACACGCTCGTCGGCCTGCTTACAATACGTACTTCATCGCTACTGGTCGCCTCTATAAATCATATGTCCTAAATTCTAAACCCTAAACTCTAAACCCCAACCCGAAAGCCGTAAGCTGGCCCTAACCCTAAACCTTCTTATCCGAATCCCAGACTCTGAGCCCTGAAACCCTGAAAAAGCTCTGTTGGATGCTTCAAATGTCGCGTTCTTCCTGGTTTGGGAGTTGGCTGCAACCTCAAAATTGAGGGATTCTCAGACCCCGAAGAGACCCAAAAACCTAGCATATTCCGGACCCTCCTAAAAAGATACCTGGACCCTTAGGGGAGAACCCCGAGCCCTTCTAAACCTTGAAAACAAAAGGGTTTAGGGGTTTATGGATTTGGGGGTTCAGGGGTTTGGGGCTTAGGGTTTAGGGGTTTCGGGGTTTAGGGGTTTACAGGTTCAGGGGTTTAGGGTTAGGGGTTTACGGGGCTTAGGGGTTTGCGGATTCAGTGGTCTAGGGTTTAGGTATTGGGCTTCATTAGATGGGGATTTATATGGGATGACCCTATCTTAATTTTTGCTTATGTGCTTTTTTGGGGCCCTACTAAAGTCGGTAATTGTCCAAGCTTGTATATTATGAGTGATGTTCCGGGGTTTGGGGGTTATGAGCTTGGTGGTTTGTGCTTTTATTCGAGGCCGTTGGCAGCTGTGGGGAGGCATTTAGGGTTTAGGCTTGATACCCTACTCCCCCGAACCCTAAACCCTATTCCCTATACTTAAGCTTACCGAGTGTTCGTTTCTGTTGGTAGATCTGCCCTGGAATTCGACCTTAAACCTGAACCCCGGAGCGCTAAACACTAAACCGACCCCATAACCTCCGCGCTTCAAAACCCCCCAACCCAGGCAGTCCTTTATGTCCGTGGTTCAGCATTTCAGACATTCTCTGCTGCATGAACCCGAAATGCAAGGCGCAGTTCGGCGAGCCCACGTGAAGCCTGAAGGACTTCAAATGCTTATGTTTATGTGCTTTTGGGGTAGCTAATTTAGTCTATGCTATGATATACCAAAAAGCCCTGGACCCTGCTCTAAATGCCAAAGCCCAAGACCTGGGCGTGTTAAACACTTCTTCAAAGCCCTGAAACCCAAGACCCCAATGCAGTAAACTCGAAACCCTCAAAGGTCCCCAAACCCTACACCCTAAACCCCGCAACCGTAAAACAATAAACCCTAGACTCTTCTTTAAAAACCCTACCAGGACAAACCCCGAACCTTATTAAACCACAAGCCTGAAGATTTAAAATTTTTTGTACTTGTACGATTACATATCGAAATCCCCAATCCAATTTTTGATTGCCTCTTTTGCTAGGGCTGACCCCTTCCAGACCTAGAAAGTAGATCCCCGAATTTGGGGCCCTATACTACTAAGGGCACTTTATAGGAACCCCCACTAAGGGATCTACTTTTTGGATCCTCCCGGGGGTCTGGGTTGAATGCGTTTGCGCCTTGAACCAGGTGTCTGTGTGTCGCTTCAGCTTGTACCGCCCACGCCAATCCTCGGGGGTCTCTGGCTCGGTTTAGGGTTTTGGGTTTAGGGTTCAGGGTTTAGGGTGGCTCGGGCTCAGGAGTTCAGATCTTTTAGGCTTTCTCATTCAGGGTTTAGGTCTTTCAGGATTTAGAGCTTAGGGTTTGGGTTTAGGGCCTACAGCTGCGGTTTAGGTCTTTTGGGGCTTAGAGTCTTAGATTACGTAGAAGTTCAGGGCTTCTGGGTTCCTACGGTTGATGACATAAATCCTGCATTAGCTTAAGGACCCTAAACTATGGGAATTATGGGATATTCCTTATTCTGGGGAATGCAGGATTTATATCATCAGCCGTAGTTCATGGTTGAGATACTATCAAGACAGTTCAATTCCTTCCTTATTGGGTCTAGTATCCATAAAAATGATAAGATGCTACCCAACTATGACAACAGGTTCAAAGATTTTGGTGTTTACTGCTCTTTGGGCGGTCTTCTCTTTGGAAAGGATGCTTTGGGCCTTACTTGGGTTTAGGGTTTAGAGGTTTGGGGGATTGGGGCTTAGGGGTTTGGGGTTTAGGGTCAAGAAACCTACCGTCTCAAGGATTGATGTACAGAATCCAAAGCAACGAAGGTATGAGCATCCACAAACCAATCCGAAATCCCCTACGTAAAGGATCATTGCGGACTTAGCAATCAGCTGAAAATCTCCACCTGTCACTCTACTTTGGTTAGTCACGACTGTGCTTCTACGCTCAGACAGTCGCACGCCGTCGTGGATTCTAAACAAAGTGACCGGTGCCGCAGTCGGGGAGTGTAAGATTGCCAGTGTCAATTCTCTAGATTAGGCTGCCTTTTCAAGGTCCATTTTACTCCCTAAACCCTAAACCGATCATGTTACCACAGTGGTGCATTCTGTTGGAGCGTCCGAAACACGCACTCCCTAGAGAACTCTCTAGAAGATTCGGGATTCTTAGTAGTGGGTAATATTTTCCCAAAAAAGTGTACAGTGTATCCACTCAGCTACTACGATTAGGGCTTGTGGCTCAAGGGCGGTCTCAAGCCCTGCACTCTCAGAAGCCAGTATGAGGTGCAGGGCCCAGAGTTCAGGGCTTGGGCTTTGAAGCTGAGGATCTGTGGGGGGGGATCCGTCTGCTGCTAGGCCTCAACTCACGGAGTCTTTGCAACAAAACTTCAAATGATTTGGTGTTTGATGGCCACATCCTCCCCAAACTAGCGCCTAGACCCCAATCCCTAGACCTGAACCCCTAAACCCCTAAAAGCCCTAAACCCATATCTACTGCAATGCTGCCGGCTGACAGAGCTCTGGTTCAAGACGCTGAGCAAGGAGGGTGCCTGGAGAAGTAAGATGCATACTGGGAGGATCATGGGACTTATCTTAACGAGGGCTACAGGAAATTATATGTACAGTTAATTTTATTTACATTGTATATGATCCGGGTTACTAATTCCCATGATCCTTCAAGCACTCAGATCCGCGACAAAACGCCTTCGACTTGAAGGATGATCCGTGCTCTCTGCAGCGCCTTAAACCCCAAATCCCAAACTGAATTGGACCCTAATCCCGAATCACAAAACAAGAATCCGCAGACATCGGAAGTTCCACCTTAAACCCTAAACCTTAGGAGCTGCCCCCACCCTGTAATAGTGACTATAAGGATTATATTAGGGCCCTATTATATTCCTATTATACCACTATTACAGGGTGGGGGCCCCTTCTAACCTAAACCCAAATCCCCGCAATAATGGCCCCAGTAAGCCCTGAACACAACACCCTAAACCCTGAACCCCTCTCCCCACAGCTCCCCCAACTAAACCCTACCCCCGAAACCCTCCGCTCGATCCTTCCTGCTCCCCGTACTTGGAGGGTCGGGGGACTTACCAAGCAGTGGACCAAGCAGTTATTTTAGAGATATATAAGTACCATAACCCCAATTTAGGATCCCTTTTGGGGTACCTATAACTCTACTTATTACCTACTTACTAAGTCCCCCGACCCTCCCTTATAGATCCCCTTACAATCCCCCTATAGATCCCTTTAAGGAGCCCTTTAAGGAACCCCTACTAAGTCCCCCGACCCTCCAAGTAGAAGATGAGGCGTTGACCCGGACCAAGAGGGTCCATAGATACTACCCCCAAGGGTCCAAAGGACCCAATAATCAGGTACTCGGTTTTAAGATAGTAGTTAGGTAGGTTAGGATTTCAGAGAGTATATGATTATTAGCTACTTGGACCCATGGGGTACTATCATGGAATTACGTCCCCCAAAATCATGATTTGGATGATCTTCAGGGGCCTAAGTCCATAATCGTAGCATATACGGACCCTCTGGGTTAAGGGATCTTGGGGCTTACTACCTAGGGCTCGGTTTAGGGCTTGGGGTGTAGAAATATGACACAACTATACTCCTAAAGACTTGGAAGTCCTAAACCCTAGACCCTACTTTACTGACTCCGCCCCCTGAACCCTTGAGTAAAGTCGAAACCCTGAGCCTTAAGCCCTAAACACTTCAATTGCTTTGCAAGTTCCCTGAACCCCTGTACACCATTCCTCCATTCCCTACTAATTCAAGGGAAGTAAAGTAACCCTGTCCGTAAGCGGTGGCCTCCTCACCCGAGGACGAGCCTTGGAAAATGAAAGGAGTCCCGGGTTTGAGGCTCAAGGCTTCACAGGGCTTACCTAGACCCTCCAACTACCTAGAGGCTCATACCCTACCCTTCTGTTTGGATGCCTTATGGTTAGGATCTGTTTTCTTAGAAAGGTAAGCGCCCTAAAAGCGGGGTCGGGTATGAGCCTCTCGGTACCTTCTATATACCCTAAATGCCGACCATGAAGCATGAAGGACCATAAGGGCTCCATTAAGGGGCACTTGGGTTTACGGTTAAGTTTTAGGGTTGTTTCTGGCTACTTTATGTGTCAAGGCTTGGAGGGCGATGCAGGTTTGCCTGGACCCTGAGAAACCTACCTTTCTAAGTAATGTGATTGAAAGGAAATCATAGTAAGGAGCCCTAAAAATGAAGTTTATTAGTACCTAGCTTTTGTAAAAGGAAAGTCATAATCAAAACAGGCAACCCGAAAAAGGTAGGTTTTAATTAAGTAGCTTTCTTTATAAGGAAACCATAATTTATGAGGAACCCTTAAAAAAGTAAGCCATGTAGGGCAAAGGGTCAGGGCTCAACACTTTCTACGGTTTAGGGTCGTTGGGCTGGTTTCTGGCTCGTGGAGGTAGTGCCAGTAAAGCATGCGCGAGAATAATTAATTACCTAAATCGCAAAAACCCAACACCCTCATCTTGAGTAGAGTTTAGGGTTCAGGGTCTTAGGGCTTCTACACCTTCAATGACATGAACTACCGCTCTTTGTTGATAGGCAGGTCCGTGGCAGAGATCTCACAAACATAGACGACCACTCAATCTTCCCGGAAGAACAATCCATTCTCTGAGCTCTACCGTAAACTACCAAACCCTGCTTGTTTGTAGGTTTTGATGATAAGCTCTAATATGGCGTTTGTAGGAACTACAAGAAAGTACGTCTTGGTAGGTTCAGGACCCTAAAGCCTAAACCCTAAACCCCCACTCCCCAAACGACTTGAGACCATCTTGTCACTCACGGCTGGGAGTCACCGGCTGTTGGAGGGCACCGTCGACGGAGGAGAGGGCTGGCACAGACGGCATGGGAATGGGATTGTATGTAATTACAGAAAGGTAGACAGACAGACAGACAGACAGACAGAGAGATGTAGATAAGAGAGATAGATAAAAAGAGACAGCGAGGGAGAGTGAGAGAGAGGTTCATAGGCTTCGGTTTAGGCTTCAGGATTCGACAGGACATACGGTTCAGCAGCCCAGGACCCTGAACCCAACCGTTCGTAGCCCGAACTTATGGGTTCTAGTGCATTCTCAATATTCTGGGTACTGCAGGATCTTGTCCATCATCAGCGTGATGACGTATAGGCTAACAAGTTTTAGGTTGCCGGACATACCAGATGCAAAGCATGTAGCTTGATCGGAATATTCCAAAGACAGCTACGCACAATGAGAATCCACATAGAAATTGTGCCTGCAGCCCCACAAAGCCCTGGATCCCCGCAGCCAACGAAAGCTGCACGGCTATCCCAGACTCTAATTACATCCTGAACTCTTACCTAGACCCCCAAAAGTAGGTAAAATAATGGCCCAAAACCTACAAAAGGCTATTATTCTACCAGGTAACCCCAAAGCTTGAACCCTAGATCCGAAACACCGCTAAAACCGCAGTAAACCCTGAGCGCGCGAATCTTGAACCCTGGACTTCGAATACACCCAGAAAACATAAAGAAGCTGGGTTTAGGGTTTAGGGTTTAGGGTTTAGGGTTTAGGGTTTAGGGTTAGCCCTAACTCCCAAACCCCAAACGTCGAATAAACCCAGAAAGGCTGAAGAAGCTTGGGGCGTGAAACCCCCGAAATTTCCGCCTTGGACACAAGGTGGCTCCTCAAGCAAATTTGGAGCATGGGCTTGGGGTACTACTTGGAGGGTCGGGGGACTTAGTAAGTAGGTAATAAGTAGAGTTATAAGTACCCTAAAGGGATCCTGATTAGGGTTATGGTAATCATTACTCTGGGAATCCAAAAACCTACTGTTTTAAGGGTTATACCCTCCAATTAAGGGGTCAGAACCTACATTTTTTTTAGGGTTTGGAGATACACGTTAGAGCAGTTCGGGGAAATAAAGCAGAGTCTATGATGAAAAAGCACGGGGACCCACAAGCAAAAGCTCTGTTGGATGCAGGAGTTCAGTGTTTTGGGGCTTTGGCTTCAGGGACTTGTGCCCATGGTTGGATGAGTTGGACGTAAGGCTTCAATCAACATGCAAAGTTTGGACTTTGGGGCTGTGTTGGGGCTAAGTGGGCCGTGATCGCCTACTTTTTCTGCAGGTTCTCGTTCCAAACCCTGAGACGGATATAGGACCCTACAAGAAGTGGGGTTTGGTAGGCCAAGGTAGGCAGCAGGAGGAGCTGCATCTCGAAGGGATCGCGCACACCCAATCTTAAACTGGAAACCCTGAATTTCAAAACCCCAAAACCCTAAAGCCCTAAACCCTCAACATTCAAGCCTTCGTTGAAGGTTCCGGCGGCCTGGCGGGAAGATAGGTTTAGGGTTTAGGGTTTAGGTGAAGTTGCACAGGATCCCTCCTGAGCTCTGTCTATACATTCGACTCGAACTGTCACAGAATCAAAATCCAGACTACCCCAAACCCCTGCCCAGAGAGTCCAAGTAATTACACAAATAGTAGGGTCTTAGGTCTCAAAATCCATAGTCTGAATGGCTTTTGGAGATTGAAGCCCTACTATTTGGGTACTTGGACCCTTAGAGCTGTACCCTAAACCCTTAAACCCTAAGCGCCCTAACAACAACCGGAGTCCTTCTTGGCTCAATGTCTTGGTTCGCCGTGCACGCCATCGCCATGGAGAGCCTGCGCTCACTAAAGCCATAAAGCCCCTCCTTTGATCAGACTTCCCGCATGACCCGACAGCCGCACATGTCAAGGATGAGGGCTTTCAGATTCAGCTGTTCGGATTTTCTCGTACGGATTACAAGGGTTCAGGATTGCATGGTAAAAAATATCCTGGCTTTTGAGCGGTGGATTCATGTAGGGTTTCGCCAAGCCCCTGAAACAACGCAAAGGTCGAAGTCGGCACAGTTAGAGTATGCTCTTGATTGGTTCAGGGATTTCGGATTGAGAGCTCACCCAGGAAACCTTGGGCCCCCTGCAGTCGGGCGGACAAACTTGGCAAAGTTGCGGCATGACGCGCTGTAGCAGAACACACTTTACTGAAGTAATCTACGCAACAAAATGCACCGAGAGTACCCGAAATTACTCCCCAAGCTTAGGCTCAGCCTAGAAACCCGAACCTCGGACGCCAGCGCACTTTCAACCCCTAGGCTGAAGCCCTCTGACCGTCTGAACCCTACTCCGACCCTTTATTACAGTAGACATAAAACTAACCCAAGCCCTAAACCCTAAAACCCGAAGCCACCTGAGCAGCAAGCACCGATGCTCGGCGAGCTCCACGAAGCAGGAACCTGATTCGTCTACGATCTGAAACTACGTGCCGATCTCAACAGTTCCCAAATTAATTTCTCATTAGGACTCTAATTTAAACAGTCAGGGAAATTGAAACTTATCCCAAATCGATGCCTAATACAGGCCTCTACAGCATTGTATCCCAAAGGGTCCTACGTACTGTAATGGGGGAAACTTCCCCAAATCATAATAGTAATTCCTGATATGGAAACCCTACGTTCTACTATTACATAAGTACTTAGACGCTTTGAGTATACAATATGCTTCAATATCTTGTAAGGGGTTCCTCTGGGACCTTAACCTAACCCTAAATCCGATAAGGGCTCGGGCTTGAAGTTTCAAGCGCACGGCTCGAGAGGGCTGCAGGTTCAGGAGACGCGGCTTAGGGTTGAGGGTTGATTTCGTTCTTCTCGAACATATACTCGTATGTGTGTGTGTGTGTGTGCGTGTGTGTATATATATATATATATATATTACATACATACACATACAGCACTCTGAAGCGCAGTAATGAGCAACCATCCTTCTGTCAAGCTCACTTGACTTGTAGTACTGATACTGGTCGTATCGTAGTAGCTGTTGCCCTGGAACTGTAGGCAAACAAGAAACGAACACACTTAGAAGAAGGTTATTGGAGTTGTATGCGTATATGCAGTTCTTCCGGATCCCGATAGTATTTCATTGCTCCCCGGGCCACTGTACGTTCTCGACCCATTAGTGTGGCTGCACTCTCGGTGTCTGGCCTAATTTAAATGTTTGTAACTGCACAGGCCCTGGGCCTAGCCAAGCTGAAGCCCAAGGTAAGGCTACTAAGTTCGAAGTGGAACCGTGCATGGCGCAAGCCGTGCCCCCTCGACCCTACAGCCTTCAAGCCGTAAGCCGCAAACCCGCAACCCTAAACTTTACACCCTCTGCCCTAAGCCCGAACTCTCTCAGTTCAGCATGACTGCTCTGTTTTTTCCGCTTTGGCCTCCTTGGCACACAAGAGAGTTGCATTTGAACGTCTCCCGGGGCAATAAGTTCTAACACAGTGAAAGCCTCCCACCCGAAACCCCTAAACCCTAAGTCTGAAACTGCAGGCCTTAGCCACATGAAGCCTATCAAATCAATCATGATGGCCCCATATGAGACTATAGAACCTCACATCACACGCAAGCCGCCTCATACGACCCAATCGAACATGATACGCAAAATTTCTAATGTAGGGCCTTATAATGATTAGAATAGGGTTTGGGTGGTTACGTTATACTATGCTGATATGGACCCCCCGCCAAAACGCGGCCGAGGAGCTAGGAGAGCGCTTGTTGTTCGGGGCAAGGCGGTCGAGCGCCCGGACTACCTGCTGGTCAGAGGGTTGAGGGCGCTGTTTTGTCTTAGGGATCTTTCTAGTTTAGCTGCAGGGTCTTGTTTTGCTTGTCGTTCTGGTTTGTCTCGGCTAGCTTTGATTGATGTACCTGATTGGTTTTTTATAGAAATTGAGGGTTCTTTCTTGAGTTTATGATTCGGCTTAAGGCCCAAGTGCTGCTCGTAAGGCGAGAGTCTTGCTCTTTCGGGCAGTCGTTTCTTTCGTCTGCAGGCTGAAGGTCTTGATGTCGGTTGGGGGCCTTTCTTTAGTAGCTGCTATGGTCAAGAGTGAAGCGCTCTGATGTCGAGGGTCTCCGGCTTAAAGCTTTGGTCCGGAAATTCGCATGTGCTTCATGGATCTGCCAGAACGGCCTATGTTAAAGGCATAGGGTTAAAGGCGTGTGTTGGTAAGCTCCATTTCTCGATGGCGAACTCTCGCGTTCAGCCTAGAAGGGCCTGAGTCAGCCAGGAAAGGCCAAAGCATACCGCTTGTGGGCATGCCCGCGCCAAACAGAACTCTCACTCGACACCCTGGCCCTCGGCCATCATCTGCTAGCATCCCCACCCCCTGCCTTAAAGGCTTTGGTGCCATCCACATGCATGGTTTAGGGCAGAGTTTAGGGTGTTGAAAGCTTAAGGCTTTCGGGCTTGAAGTGGGATTGCACGGCTCAGGAATTCAAGTGTAGGGTTTGGGATCATGACGGTATAGGGGCGACATCATGGCACGTCGGTCAGTATCTCCCAACCTGACTCAAGCTGGGAGTGCGGGAGCACTTCGGTAGCTCTGATACGAGCAGCTTGCGAACTTCATGCCGGGACTACATTGCAAATGCACTTCTTACATAGGCTCTGAAACCCTCGCAACCGCTCTTCATGTTACCAAAAGAACACCTTCATAGCTGGTGCCAGCAGTGTCAATAAAGAACACCTTGCTGCACCGCATCGCCCCAGTCTTGCCAGTCAAAAGGTTCAGCCCGCATAACGCCCACACACCGATCGCAAGTGGCGCCCAGCCAATCATGCCTGCGATGCTAAAAGCTGCCATTCCTGCAAGGTGCCTTCCGCCAACCTTCTTTGCCTCATCGCCCAAAAGCATAGCTTTCCTGCCATAACGTGCCCACACAGCAAAGTGCTGGCAGTTGTTCCGTAGCACATCGTATCCCCCGAAAGAGGTGTGCACCCTGCTCAAAGCACGCTGTTTAGTGATCGAGCCACTGAAAGGTTCACCATAATGACGTGAATCCATCTCAAGCACGTACCACTCAGTGGAAGGGCTCATTGGAGTGACCCAAATGTTCTGGCCGCCCTTTCCACTTTTTAGTCACCCAGCTCGGGAAGATTGCGGAGAACCGCTGAGCCGCGTGGGACCACTGTATTCGATGACATACCATTCTTCTGGATCCAAACCGGAACTATCCGTCGCATATTCAAGCTCTGGACAGCCAGGGCCCACACAGATTCCAGCATGAAAGAAGTTCCCTGGTACATCCAGCTCATATCCCACCAACACGCCCTCTGGCAGTGGCTTTCCATCAACCATCGGCGTTGCTGCCGCCTGAACTCTGCAACGCTGCGGTTGCAACCACGAAGTCGCGAGCCCCACAAAGGGGCGACACATACGACAGCTAAGAAAGAGCACTGCAAGCATGAAGAGCTCGGCAAGCCCTCGACGCGCCATGCAATCGTCTGGACCTGAGACCGAGCGACAGAACAGCCAAGCTAGGGAAGGATCTGGGGATCGCTTGAACGGTTGCTGTGCGCAGATCTTCTTTCTCCTATTTGTCCAACTTGTGGAGAATTATGCGAGCTGCTCAAGGGAAATGTTCCGGCCATAAATACTACTTGGTGGCGCTCGTTTGCCGATTGCGTAACCTATGATGGATGCATTTACGGATGCTACTGGACGGCATCTAGAGTGGTTTGTTTAAACAGTCACTTGGTGTTGTAGAGAAGAATCGGTACACACCAATCACCCAATACTACGCAACATTATAATCCGTAAAGAAGCGGATGAACCATCATGCTCGTACGCCGCCACGCATAGATCAAATCCCAAAGTAAGTTAGGTAGCATGACGACCTACATGACAACGGCCACGTTTCCTCCAAACACAAGAGTGTACACCAGCAACTCTCCAGACAAGGTTTGGAGACGCCAGATAATCTATCTTCGCACAAGAACACGGGGCACGAAATAGCTACACATCCTAATCGACAAGCCGAAACCCTACAGTAGAAGCCAGAAGGTTGGTATCATTATCCTCATGCCCTTAAGGCAAAGTGCAGGGACTCCTAGGACGAATCATCCTTATTCCATGGTCCAACTTCCTGGGGTTCACGATATATACCCAGAGACTCCAATATCCCTTAATTACTGATTATAGCTGAAATCGTATCAGGGATCCTGCTATCATGTAAGGTATATACCCTACTTATGGGATGTTGGAGTTTCCTAAACCCTAAATCCTTTAGATCCCTCATAGGAACCCTTAAATTAGAAGGAACCCTTACAAGATCCCTTTAAGGGATATTGGAGTCTCTGGGTATATCCTAGAAGCCCGACTCGGCCTCCGCCAGCAGAGACGCATCCCAGCATCCAGAGCCGTGCAAAGCCTAGGCGAACCATCTGGAGATTTCCAATAGCAGCCATGTTATAGGGTTTAGGGCTCAGGGGGTTTAGGGTTTACTGTTTAGGGTTTAGGGCTCAGGGTTTAGGGTTTGTAGGGTTCAGGGCTCAGGGTTTGTAGGGTTTAGGGTTTACGGTTTAGGGTCTTGGGTTGAGGGTCTATAGGGCTCACTGTTTTTGGGTTTAGGGTCCTAGTAACTCTGCGTACTATTGATGGACAGAATTCTGTATTATTCAGAAGCCCTAAGGGTCCAAAGGGCCGAATACCTAAGTATTCGGTTTCAGGATAGTAGTTATGTAGGTTACTATGTTGGAGAGTATATGACAATTAGGCACTTGGACCTTTAGGGGAAGTGCAGAATTGACTATAGGTTGCCGAAGGCAAGCATACAGAATTGCGTCCAGTAGTCATATTTCGGCTCCCAGTAGTTGGGATCCTGCTGACAAGGATTGTATTATCTATCATCCATATTGGGAGTTTAGGTCGATTCTAGAAGCCTCCACCTCCAGCTGCTTACAAAATACATGCTTCTTGCTTCATGAATGACCTCTTGGGTGCCCCAAACCCGTTTTGGGCGGCCCCATGCGAAAAGATGCAAGCACACAGTCGCCCCAACGTTCGGCCGTTCTGCCCAAACGCCACATTGTGCAGATTCCGAAGGGTTTAGGGTTTAGGGTTCAAAAGGCGTGCTGGGTCCGCCGGGGGTGCCAAACTGCTCTTCAGAACCGACCCCAAAGGGTCGGGAAAGCCCGTGGGGAGGATGTCACGCGATTCAGCTCCCCTAGCGGACATGATTGAGTGCATCCAGACATTGCAGCGGCGACTTCCATCCTCTCCACAGTGCCACAGTGCGAGGAGTTCTGCCCCGGCCCTAAACCCCAAACCCACAAACCGAGCACCCTATGCCCTGGAACCTAGACCCTATACCCTACATCCCCCTATGCCCCACACCATCAACCCTAAACCTTAAATCCAAAACCCTTAATCTCAATGTTCCTCAGAAGCATCCGGAACTGTCTGAAACTCTGATGTTGGACCGGGAGCGAGGGCAGGGTCAAGTGGTTTTGTAATGTTCCGCGGGTTGCTATCGAGTTTTGATGGCTTTTCCAGAATGCTTAAGGCTTAAGCTGTTTATTGGGTTTCATAAGGCTTTAACGGGTTTAAGCGTGCGGCGTCCAGTACAGGGGTTTATAGGCTGTTGTACGGTTAATCCAAAACAGGAACTATAGTGGTAGGCAAGCACAGAGCCCAACACCCCTTCAAGAAGGAACATGCCTTGCATTAGGGCGCCTTTTGAGTAATGGGACTTCTTGGGTAGTGTGTGGGGTTGTATGGCTGAGGATGCTTTCTTTGGTTAGGATTTGGGGCTTTGGGTTTAGGATGGTTTAGACACAGCATTTGGGCCTCAACAGGTTTACCAAAAAACAAATCCCAAATCCGCAGAACAAGAATGAACCCGACAAGCCCCTGAAGAAACCCTATGCCAAACCCCAAGACAAAGAATAAACCCATAACCCGCTCAAGAAATTCTACAAACCCCACATCGGAGATAAACCACCGAAAACAATGCCTTATGACAATCCCTCCAAACCCAAATCGGAGATACCAAAGCTTTCGTAGACCCTAGGCCCTCGCCCAAATCCCAAACCAAAGACGGCTCCAGCGAAGGACTTGCATTCTCGGGCTTCCCAGCAGAAGCCGTCGCTCTTAAGAGCTCCAAAGGAGGGCCTGCTCGTATATTGAAATTGCATATGATTGCTATCATCAGTTGCAGAGGGAAGGTTTAGGATTTAGGATTCAGGGTTTAGTGTATTACATGGCATAATCACGACCAGAATTGTATGGAAGCTATGATGACTACTGTGACTTATGTTACTGCTGCTGCGGCTGGTGCTACCAGTACTTTGATTACCACTACCACGACTACTAGAATCTCTTTACAGGCCAGCGGGGTCGCCTGTTGTTGAAATGTGTTGTCATTTTCCCTAGGTTTTCTTGACGGTAAAGTGATCTCGAATCTCGGGGTTACGCACTATAGGGTTGAAGTTAGCGATTCCTCATGTGGCGCAGGCTTCAACAAATCTGGGCGACGACAAAACTGTGGCTTGCCTCGGCTATCACGCAGCAGTGTCGAAACAAGCGATTCAATATCCCAACCCTGACCCCTGCAAAACAAGACCTAAGACCTAATTTTGTGACACATGAGCCGCTTGCACCTTCAGCGGCATCGGCAGCACCCTGCTCGGCAGGGCTAGTGGGGTGTACCAAAGCAACCCAACAACCTTTGATGAATGAATCTTGGTTCAAGAAATCGAACTGCGGATCCTAGGGGGTTTCTTAGCTTCTGCTGCTTACACGGTCTAGGGTCGAGGCGAGAGGGCAGAAATCCTCGATTCTAAATGCTGGTTACAGCATCACAAAGGCATAAGCAGGTTCGCGCATAATGTTATACGCCCTGCAGGATTTTGACGATGAGCCCTATCACTGCAGGACGTTTTCCATGAGCCGTAACACTACGATTTGGATGGATGCCAGGTGGTGAGCTTTAGGACATTGGTCTGAATTTTAGTGCTGTGAGGAACTGACACAGACTGTGGAAAAAGCCTCTGCATGAGGTCCACCCTTAACTCTGATCATATCTAAACCACAAGCCCTACTCCTACCTCCTTACCCGTTTGAAGAAACCAGCAGTATGAAAAGGTCTCTCCAAGCCGCAGAGCACCCCCACCCAGGTGCCTCGCGAAGGCTTTTCTGCAAGGATTGCCGAAGCAGCGCCTGGGGTTTACGGTGTCAGGGTTCAGTGTTTGTGGTGCTTGATGCAAGGTCTTGTGGCGATTTGTCGGTGTGGATAGGCTGAAACTGTTCTATGAGGATGAGGTGGTCAGGTTGGTCAGCAGACAAAACCTATATGTTGAATTAAAGTAAGCCCAAACCCCAAATCTGAGAGGCTCGCCAGAATTTCGTCGTCTTGCCACTCCGTCGGCCAAGTCCCACAGTGACCCTGCCAAGGAGTCGTGTAAGCGGTCTGTTTACTGTAGGAACCTGATTAAGAAACCATATTAAGCAAGACCCAAGGTTTCTTAATCAGGTTCCTACATTACCTGGTTTAGGGTTCGGTGAAAGATTCCTGAAAGCATTCCAAGGATTCAATCAGGGTTCGGGATCCTTGCGAAAGATGTCCGACAGCATTGCAACGCCACCTAAAAAGAGTGGGTTTATTAGAGATTTTGGGGCAGTTTCGAGTTTTGGTGTCGGGACCCAGGATCTTTTGAAGTCGAGTTATTCCAGGGGCTTCTTGTTGCGGATGTGGAGGGTGCTACAGGGGTCTCTATGAAGAAGTTCTTGGGGAATTCGGCCTGGACTGTCGGGTTTAGGGGTAAAGCTTTGGGTTTGGAGATGGGGATTCCTTGATCACTGCCTGGGATCCTTTCGGAGAACCTTACCGAATCCGAAACCTCATTGAAACAGAGTCCCTAAACCCAAAACAGGCCTCCAAAGACGACCAGGGAAGGCGGGTGAGCATCCTGACGTCACCTTCGGCAACCGCCAGTTTGCGTCTTCTGAAGTTTTGGCGCTGTCATTCTAGTCAGAATCATGACAAGATTGAGGTGATAGTACAAGCAACAAACAACGAGAACTGCAGATGTCAAGAGGCTCAAGTTTCGCAAGTTTCGCCATGCTAACGCTGATAGTAGCAAGAGCAGGGACTCACAGGCAGGGTACTTGGAGGGTCGGGGGACTTACTAAATAGCTTGAAAGTTATAAGTAACATAACCTCAATGAGAGTCTCGTTTAGGGTACTTATAAGTCTACTTACTACCTACTTACTAAGTCCCCCGACTCTCCAAGTATCTCTCTTGGCTCCCAAGGCCGCCGGAGGAACAATGGCGCGGCTCGAGGTTTCGAATTTAGGAGCTTCTAGTTTTGAGATGTCCAAAAGTTACCAGAAACACTCCCCAGGGCTTCGGATACGTAAATGATGGGTTGCTGGAGTACATACTGGGTATAATTGGAGCCCTGGGGAATGCATACTAAATGCTGAAGGATACTACTCTCTAATTAAGAAGGAACCCTTCGCGTTCAAGAAACCCGATTTTGGCGATCCGGTTGTCCCCGGCACCTGAACCAAGGTCGTGGTCTTCGGGTTTTGAGTTTAGAGTTTCGGCCTTAGGGGGTTAAGGAGATTTTGTGGGTTGAGGCTCGGTGTAATCAGACACAGAAGCCCGAACCCTACTTAAGCCCTCTCCGGGAAAACAAATCTTTCCTACTTCGGGTTATTCGGGCCCAGTCGCTTCAAAGCGGATATCAGTCTCGCTGTCTCCTAACCCCAAACCTGTAACCCCCACGCCAGCTTGGGGGGGTTTAGGGTTGAAGGTTGCGGTTTCGGATTTAAGTCGTGGGGCTGAGGACATCTCCCTCTCTAAGCCCACGGCCGCAATCCCCCAACCCCAGGCGACCCTGAACACCCGCTGCACTCAGACTCAAGCACGCCCCGAACACCAAACCCCAAGCCCTAAACCCAACCCATAAAACATTGTAAATGCATTACCCGCAGAGTCCATACATGATGGGATTATGGAGGTGGGTCTCCAAAACCGTACTAAGCATGGTCTTTTGGGAACTAATTTCGAAACGGTCTTCTATCTGGACCGTGTGGATTATGAAACCACTGCTACACGACTGTACAACCCTGTAACTAACACCCTTAAACCCGTATCAAGATGAAGAAGAGGTCGTATGGCAAACCTAAGGGACCATTGAAAAATCCTCGAGCCGTTAAAGCAACGCTAAAATATGAAGTTCGTAAACACCCATTAAGGTACCCCTTGAAAAATACGAGGCCTCAAACCCCCCGATCCCTGAAACAAAGCCTACACAATTATTGTTGACACCCAATTGAAACCAAAAGCCCCGAAAAACACATTAGCAACCCTTTGAAGCCATAACAGCGAAAAGCTTTTTTAAACCCTTCACCAAACCAAAAGAACCTTGCAAAATATGAAAACCCCGCGTGCTTTGTTCCCTAAACCCTAAACCCTAAATCCTAAATCCTAAACCCTAACTAAACTCCTAAACCTTAAACTCCTAAACCCTAAACCCCTAAACCCTAAACCTAACTCAAAACTCCTAAACCCAAAACGCTAAACCCTAAAACCCCAAACCCTAAACCCTAAACCCTAAAACCCTAAACCCTAACTAAACTCCTAAACCTTAAACTCCTAAACCCTAAACCCTAAACCCTAAACCCCAAACCCTAAAACCCTAAACCCAAAACTCATAAACCCCCAAAACCCCAAACCCTAAACCCTAAACCCCAAAACCCCTAAACCCCAAACCCCAAACCCTAAACCCCAAAACTCCTAAACTCCTAAACCCCAAACAAACCAACTCGGAGGTCCCCAGCCCTGGGGTGTCAGAAGCACAGCCGAGCGCTCGTCGGCTCCGACCTCGACTTCAGATTTCCTGGGGTTTCTTTGTTTAGGAATTAGGGTTTAGGGGTTTAGGGTTTAGGGTTTAGGGTTTAGGGGTTTAGGGGTTTAGGGTTTAGGGTTTAGGGTTTCTTTGTTTAGGGTCATCACTTTGAGGGTCTGGATTTGGGGTTTAGGGGTCTAGGGTTTGGAGATCGGGGTTTTAGAACTTAGGGTTTAGGGGTTTAGGGTTTAGGGTTTAGGGTTTTGGGTTCAGGGTTTAGGGGTTTAGGGTTTTAGGGTTTAGGGTTTAGGGTTTAGGGTTTAGGGTTCAGGCTTTAGGGTTTAGGGTTCAGGGTTTAGGGCTCCGGATTTAGAGCTTAGGGCTCAAGGCTTAGAGTTTAGGGTTTAGGCTTTAGGGTCAGCTACATAACTATACTGAACTTACATGAACTTAGAACCTTGGACAGAAGGGGGCTCCTCCAAGCACACCAAAACCCTACTTTTTTTTGCAGGGCCCCTATAATATCAATGGGCTCTATATAAGGGCTCCTCTAAGGGTTCTAAAAGGATCTATACTCTACTGAACTTAGAACCCTAGCAAAAAACTATAAATTTAGCGTATAATCACCAAAAAATAACAAATATTTCTAAGTACCCCTAAGTTTGAAGGACTTCTGGAGGGTTTTATAAAGGTCTCGGGTTTCGGAGTTAAGGGTGTGGCGTTTAGGGTTTTGGGGTTTTGTGAAATCATGTTTGCTTCTTGTTTGCGGGGATGGGTTCGTACAGGTAGTGTTTGGGGCGGGGGTGGTCCGCGGTTTTACGAGTTTTGCTTTAAAGGTTTACAAGATTGTATGGGGGTTTGTTCGGTTGTTTTGATGTTTGAAGGACTGTAGTGGTAGAGTTTCTTTTCAAACTTGTGGATCCCCCAGGAACAAGAAGTCATGTCCTCGAGAAGCCGCGAAACTCCCTGAGGAAGCTTTTATTTTTTTCATACCTATACACACATCTCATAAAAAAAAAGCACGTGCTTAAGGGCCATGGGCGGTCTATTGCGGAAAGCAAAATCAATCGACCCAACAGCAGGCACTCCGGAGCTCTGACGACGATGGCCGCACCGGAGCAAGTCGACACGGCCTGACGATTTAGGTTCAACTTTTAGGGTCTTTAGGAGTTTGAAGCTCTTTACGGTCTTTAGGGCTTACAGGGCGTGTAGGATTGATTTAGGTTTAAGGTTCAGGGTATGTAAGTAAGGCCTGTAGAGTTTAGGGTTTGGGGCTTATCGGGGTGAGGATTTTGGCTTGAAGATACAGGGTCCATGGGCGTTACTTGGAGGGTCGGGGGACTTACTAAGCAGTTATTTTAGAGAGTTATAGTACCATAACCCCAATTAGGGGTTCCTTTTAAGGTACGTACAACTCGACTTATTACCTACTTACTAAGTCCCCCGACCCTCCAAGTAGGGTTCTTTGGGTTTAGGGTTTCCGAAAGTTTGGTGTCCTTGTTGTGGGCCACTGTATTAAGGATCCTAGTCTTGATTAGAATCTGCGTTAAACTGGGGTCCCGGTGTGGCGCCAGAAGCCGTACACTGTGTATACATGCTATTACGTACTCACTGTCAGCGAAAAAAACGTCATCTGACAAGTAAGCTCTGGAACCTATGTACTTGTGACACAGGAACAATGAATGTACATACACATATCATACCCGTTGCCTCACGATCCTTGTCAAGCGGCCTCATACATGGAGGACTGTATGCGAAGGGACAGCGTGACAGCGCAGCCATGGCTTCAGGAAACCCGTGGCCATCTGCTGAGCTTCCCAGTGGATGGTGTTTTCGTGGCAGATAAGGCACTCGTGATTCGGTCCATGAGTGCCCAAGGCGAGGTACGTAGGACAGTCTGGAGGGGTCCAGCCCTCGGAGACTTGGGGGATCTCTGGTGCGGAAGCAGGAGGTGTACCGGCCACCCGCTGCGCCGGCGACGCGGCCGACCCCAAGCTGCCAGAAGACGTGGTTACATCTGCAAGCTGTTGCTGGCGTCTGTGATAACCAGTTTCCTGGCCGAACTCCTTTTCCGTCTTCACCTTGGTAGCCTGCAGCCTTGCTGCCAAAGTCCGATGAGATTGAGCTGTTCGTATCTTCCTCTCCTGCTCGGCCAGCTCCAACTCCAGCAGTTGGAAACCGGATTAAGGCCAAATAGTGCTGGGATTCCCTATATAATTGAGGCTATGGGGTTTCCAACTTTTGGGCTTCTACTGTAAACCCTAAAACCCCCTAAATCCTGAACCCCTGAGCCCCACACCCTCAAGCCTAGAAGGCAGCGACAGCACACCTCCCCTTAAAAGCTCATTGCACTTAGCCCTCCAAAGAGAAGTCTTGAGCGTGCAGACTCGGGTCCCCCAGAGCGCCATGACCTTTGGGCCGCAGACGATCTCTCCATCCAGGTACTTGGAGTTACTAAGTAGTTATTTTAGAGAGTTATAACTACCATAATCCCAATTAGGGTCCCTTTTCGTACTTATAAGTCTACTTATTATCTACTTACTAAGTCCCCCGACCCTCCAGGTAGTGTCGCGTGTAGACCCCCTAGGTTTTGGGATTCCTACAGTGAGGCCATGCAGGGACAAGATTGAGGATGCTACTATGAGTTCTTCAAACCAATCAGGGTTGAGGATTTTATTCGGGGTGCCGAAACTATCCACGAGGTACGAGTAGGGCTTAGGCTTTAAGGCTTCGGTGTTTTGAACGACCCAATCTTGCCTAGAATATAACTTTGGCAAGGCTGCTGTGCCAAAGTGCACCAAGCATGGTCTCTAGAGGGAGTTTGAGGTCTCGGAGATAGGGTTCAAGGCTTAGGGTTTATGACAGTCTGGCTACCATTAGCCTAAAACCTTCCTTAAGTAGTTATGGTCTCTTGAGCGCCAAAGCCCTGCAAGGTTCGCCTTCTGTGAACTTAGCAGTCGCGCGAGGAAAAGGCCTGCATGTGGTAGCTCGAACAGCGGCGGACGCCGCCAAGCACCCGGAGCGCTGAGCGCACCTCGAATGATGCAAAGGTTTCTCCTACCCTATCATGCTCGCCAACGCAGCAAGTAACTCTTGTAATGTACGGTCACATGCATCACGTTGTATCTGTGCATTTGGGGTAGACGTAGGTGGGCGCTGAAGTTCGGATGCACGACACTTTCATCACCTACTTGTGTGTAGGCTCTTGTAGATTAGTCTTTCGGGTTATAGCCAGCAAGAGCAAGACATGGTGCCCTGAGGAAAGCTTAAACCCCGAACGGTCAGGGACCCTACCACCTCGATCCACAAACCTTAGAACCCAGACCCTGGACTACCATGAAGATACAGCTTACTGCAAACCCCCAAAAAGGGTTCCTTTGGGGCTCCTTTAAGGGATCTACAACAAAGGGTCTTCAGGTTTTAGGGTTAAGGGCCTAGGGGATTATATAGAGTAGACCATGGAGGTGTAAGCGCATGAGTCACCTTGGCACCTACTCTTGGGGTCAGGCTCTCAGCAAACAGGTTTGAGGGGTTTTGAGGGTTTGGGAGTGATCAGGGATATATAACCCAGAGGGTCCACATACACTATCATTATGGAATTGGGTCCCAAAAGACCATCCCCAATATGGTTCTGGGTAAGGATCAGAAACCCCTCACTCCCGAATTGCTTGGGGCATCTCCGCGACCTCTAATTGAATGCAAACGAGGATAGTAGCCCCCACAAGGGTGTACTGAGTCCTCCTTGCTTCTCTAGGTTCCTGAGTAGCCCCATTATAACAAGGGTGCCCTTTTTCCTACTATTCGGCTTGATAAGGGGACCTAAAATAAACAAGGCAAAAGGGTATAGACTACTCAGGAGCCTCGTTTTGGACTGACAGCAGCAAGCATCATACGAGAGTTTCAGAACAAGGCTTAGGTTCACGGTTTAGGGTTAGCTTCTCGTGGATAGGACCTCCTTACGAAGCTCTACAACACCCCATAATTTGTCCCGGGGAGGAGCAATGTTGGTAATTGCGCCAGGCTGCTTAACTGACCCTACTGCCTTGCCGGGTTCATGGCTTTTCGTGGATAGGACCTCCTTATTGAAGCTCTACAACACCCCATAATTTGTCCCGGGCGCTGTCGCATCCTCCGATCGGCCAGCAGCATCAGCAAGCAAGCGGCGGACCTGCAATCTGCTAGGAAGGGCTCACGTACATAAAGGGCTTGGGTTTGCTAACCTTCGGAAAAACCTTTGTAGGATGTTGAAAAAGCTTTCGGTCGGTTATAAGGGTTTCAGACGGGCTTCGTGCTTGTAATGCGCACTACCCTAAACCCGGAACCCTAAACCTAGAATGTACGGCTCAAACTTTTCGGGATTTTCCTGGCGAGGGAGGCGCTCCAGGGTTTGGGGTTTAGTGGGGTTGAGGGCACGGTTTAAGGTTTTGGGTTTAGGGTTTAGGGTGGTTTAGGGTTGAAGGGTAGGGGCTTGTAGATTGGGTTCAGGATTGCGGGCATAAGATTCGAATCTCACCTGTAGCACCAAGCCCTACGAAATAGCAAATAATCGTAGACCGCGGAACTATCAATCAGGGATCGGCGTCATGAGTCACCTGCAGGGCTTGTAGGGCCCCTTGACCATGTCTTCAGCAAGCTTACGACATGATTCAGGGTTTGGGTTGTAGGGCTTCCACGCAAGAAATTACATCATCCTTGGATGTGAAAGTACGGAGCACTTGCTCCAACATGACGAACCTCAGCTGAGGACCATGATTGGCAATGCATCGTGAAGTCTAGTATGAAAGCCCGCATAGGCGAAATGAATTAAGGGTATTGAGCTCGCTGGGACCTGCAAACACCTGATCCTTACCCTACATAATTGAGGATCGTTCTTTGAAGTTATATGGGTGGTTGTCAAAATTATGGTCCCTTTTTGGGTACTCTATATATTAGGTGCCGTACTATAGTAGGGACCCAAAACGGCACCATAATTTCGACAACCACCCATATGGCTTGATGTAAACCACAGCAACAACCTTCTGCTCCTGATGCTCGTACGGCACCCTGCAATCCGACCCTAAACCCTAAACCCCTTAAAGGGAGCCCTATGACAGAACCCTATAGTACCCTTAATTAAAGGACCATAGCTACTAAGTCCCATGACCCTCCAAGTATACCCTAAACCCTAAACCCTATAGATCCCTGCAATACAAAAATGTGAGCCGGAGATCGAAATCCTTTAGGGTTTAGGTTAGAAGGGCCCCCACCCTGTAATAGTGGTATAATAAGAATATAATAGCCCTACCATTATCCTTACAGTCACTATTACAAGGTGGGGGCAGCTTCTAAGGTTTAGGGTTTAGGGTTCAGGAGATCCGAAACCCTCGCTACACCCTACAAGTCCTAGAACACGCATGCTTTAAAACTACAGGTCGTAGGCCGTAGGCCCCAAAAACTGCGAGGCCCTGTGAGCCCCAAACCCAGACAGTGCGACCACAAACCAGGAGCCATCATCGTACTTGGAGGAATTTCAATTGGGGTTAAAAGTGCTTGTAAGTAGGGTTACTTTGTTTATAACCCCAGTTACTAAGTCCCGTGATCCTCCAAGTAAGCCAATGGCCCGAATGCCGTAGAAGCTGACGCCTTCAGCCCGGCTTAGACCCTAAACCCTAAGCCCCTACTTGGAGGGTCGGGGACTTAGTAACTGGTTATTTTAGGGACTTATGAGTACCATAACCCCAATTAGGGTCCCTTTTAGGGTACTTATGAGTCTAGTTACTACCTACTTACTAAGTCCCCCGACCCTCCAAGTAGACTCAGTAAGAACCTTGACCTCAAGCACCACAAACCCCTGAAAGTTCTGAATGTTTGATGCTAGCCTAGACCCCAAGTCCAAAACTATCCAGCCCTCAAGCCCAAAACACTGCAATTCTCGAATCTTCCGAACCATTCAACCCCACACGCTCCAAACCGTATGGGTTTCAACCAAACATCCAAGCTCCAATCCCTCCATGCAACTTGAGGCGCAATGCCTTAAGCAAACATGTGGCGCTGTCGATAGAAGAGCACCCTAAAACCTAAAACGTAAACACACAACAGAACCCTAAACCCCTACACTCGGAAACGAAGACCCTAAATCCAAGACACATGATTGAACACTGAAACAACCTAAACTAAAACCCTAAACCCTAACTGCATAACTAAACCCTTAAACCAAAAACGCGTCCCAACACTTGGGACCAGGCTGTGGGTATCACAGCGGTGGCCCGCTTTGCCAACTCCAAGGACCTCAAATCAGCGGGGCCTACTGTACTGTGGTCTAGGGTTTCGGGGTTTAGGGTTTAAGCCTTAGGGTTGAGGCGATACCTAGTACTGCGAACCCGAAAAACCCTAGCACCACCAACAAAAAAAGTATGATGCCTCAAACTCCCGAGAACATGGAATATGATGATGATGGTGATGATGATCGTCATCATCAACACCATCATCACCATCATCATGGGATCGCTCTTGGAGATTCCCCCCAAACCCACTTTTAGCAACAGCTTCTGCCGGCTTGCACACTTGAAAATGGCCATTACAAACTTGGGACCGTTCTTTAAGACCCCCTTCGAACAACACACACTCACTTCTACCCCTCCGATATTGCTCAAAGGATCATGGAACTTAGTAACAAGGCTTATAAATCAGGTAGCTATACTTACGTTTACTTATAGCCTCATAGCCCTGGCTAACATACTTGTACCCTTACTTACTAGCCGGCTTATAGGCGTTAAGGGTGAGTATTTAGGGCACACGCTTCAATGAATACCATAAACTACGGGCAAGCTGATCTATACTTTTAATGACAATTAAGGCTGCGGGCATTAGAAGCCACAAGCCGTCTTTGCTGGCTGTAGCGGGCCCTGAGGACATGGCAGGCACGATGCCATAGCAAGACAGCCACGACGCCTGTTTCGGTTAGGGTCTCAAGTTCGAGGATTACTGTGAGTTGATCTGAGTTCAGGCTACGGGATTTATCAGGATTTGCGATTGCGGGTGCGAGGCTTCAGTTGAGGTGTAGTGACAGACATATTAACCCATTTGGTTGCAGAACCGGTTGCTGAAAATTCCCTCACCCTGAACCGCAAATCCCAAACTTGTAATCTCAAGCCGTAAACTTTTATTATTTCCAAACCCTAGAAACCCTGAACATGTAACCATCCCCAAAGCCTTGAACCCAACCTCACGAATCCCATGTGTAAGCCGTTGTAGCCCTCAGAAGAGTCAGGCTGGCACCCTTCCAGGAGCCCATCTATAAACCCACACCCACACTCAACCTCAACAAAAACAAAAATCCCTTGAAGAAACCTTTTCGATGCCTGAAAGGATCCCTTCACATCTAACTTACAGGAGCCCTTGCAACCCCCAATCCCAACTCCTCCACATCTGCAAACTCGACACAGGCCCTTCCAAAATCCCATCAGACCCTCTCACAAAACGATCTACCAAAAAATCGGTCTGAACACACATAGAAACCCTGCAACGATTGAAACACAAAAAAACTAAGCTCAGAATCGTTCAGGCCTCGCCGAGCTAAGCCCTTCGGTCGCTGCGTCCGCCTTTTCAAGCTGACGGGCTTTCGGGGCTTGTCGTCGAAGGTCTTCTCTGATCTACTACGATCAAGCACGTAGGATTCCGAGTTTGGGTCTTGTGTGGTCGAAAGGTCTTTAAGATTTAGAGTATGGGTTTTGTTTATAAGACTTCGATTCTGGGCGCTTAGGTGAACACGCTGTAAGGTGTTGGTAGGGTTGTATTGGGCTCTTCATACGGCTGCTATAGGATGTTATCAGGTGTTTGTCCGAGTGTGTGTGTGTGTGTGTGTTTGTATCTGTATTTGCCTGGTGTTTACATGTACTGTGGGGGCCTGAATGATTATCTATACTATTTTTGGGGGGTTCCTTATAATGTTATGGTACAGTAGCATATAATGTACCCAAAACCCTTTCCTAATTAGTAAGGCCCCTATATTACTTCGGGACTCTTCTTTTCAACAGGAGCTTCTAGGTGTTTTACACAGAGCTTCTATAGGGCTTGTGATCCTCACTGTTTTCTTCGTAGTCGGGGCCTGTACCTGTAGAGTCTAGGGATCAGGGTTTAGGGTGTCTCCTTGTCTTCAGGGTTGGTGAATCTGCAGGATACCTCTCATGATACTTATTAAGGGAAGACGGTGAAACATTGACATTCCAAGGGTCTACTTCAATTCTGAACCCGATCCGAGAACTCTTTTAAACCGGCCCTAAACCCTAAACCCTAAACCCTAAACAAACAGTTCAAGCGCGCAGGCCCAACAGGCCACATCTGGGCCTGTTGGGCCTTGGGCTTCGCATTTAGGGTTTTGGGTTTTAGGGTTTTAGGGTTTAGGGTTTAGGGTTGTAGGGTTTAGGGTTTAGGGTTTAGGGTTTTAGGGTTTAGGGCTTAGGGTTTAGCGTTTTAGGGTTTAGGGTTTTAGGGTTTAGGGTTTAGGGTTTAAGGTTTAGGCTTTAGGGTTTTAGGGTGTAGGGTTCAGGGTTTTAGGGTTTAGGGTTTTCTTTAGGTTTAGGGTTTAGGGTTCAGGCAAAAACCCCAAAACTGTTGAAGGCTCAGTCAGGGCTTTTAACGGTTCTGGGCCAAACTTCGATGAGTTGGGGTTCCGGGTTGAATTCTGGGGATGTTTTTTAGCAAGATGCAACTCGCAACCCCCTACGGAGAAAAAAGCACCGAGCCCAAAGCCACTAGTAAACTTCAAAAATCCCCCATACAAAACCCCCAAGGACCCCCGATAAAGCCCCCTCATACAATACCCTATGGTAGAAGCCAGAAAGTTGGAACATTAGTAGCCTCATGCCCCTAAAGTAAAGTATAAGGGATCCTAGCACTAATCCTCCTAAACCCATGTTCCAACTTTCTGGCTTCTACTGTAAACCCATAGCCCCGAACCTTAAATCCATAGAATCGAGGCCAGTCTCTGAGAATTGCACCTCCCCAAGAAGAGCAAGGAACTGCGGCACATGCGCGGCCACCTTTCGAATCTGGAGAAGTATAGGCTTCAGGAGCCATAAATAGCGGAATAGGCTTGCGGCAGTATAGTTGAGTATGATGAAAATAATGATCCCTAGGGCATTTGTTGGCTGTGGCTGTGAGCGCTGTACGAATTGCTCCTTGGCACCAGCTCACGAGAAGAACTCTGCACCGTGCGTGCTATCTTCATATACCACGAATGCATAAGGTTAGCCAGGGCGGTGTGTCAGGCAAGCAATTTTCAAGGAATGTATAGGTGCAGGTTTCCAACCAGTAGGGGTGTGGTTTACCTCTTCTTCTTCCATGCAAGAGGATTCGATCTTATACGCAGGAGCGAATACTACACCGCGACCTGAGTCTGCTCTGGGCAGCGAGCAAGTGGCTGTATTGGATTGTGGTCGAGGGTAGCGTCGGGTAGTAGATTTCTGCATTTGTTACTCATGAAGCTTTAAAACCCAGCACCCTGCGGGTATGTACTCGAGCCTGTTGTAGATCTGACCTTCGGGTTATCATGTGTAGAAAGCTGCGTAACTGTAAGAAACTAGATAGCAGTGATCATTTTCAGGCGGTCTACGATGGAAGCCTGCAAAACTAGGCTATGGGATTCAAAGTTTGCAAGCCCTAAGAAATACCATTCCGATCCAGATACAACCCATTTTCTCCGCACGACCATATTAATCATGCCAAGCACTGTGCAACCATACAGGCCATATGGGAGTTTCCGAAAATGGGGGACCCTTATGTAGTACCCTAAATACTAGGATCCTTATTAGAAGGATCCCCAAAATAAGGTACCCCTAATTTCGGAAGCTCCCATATACAGACCCCAACGAGCCGCCACAGGGATGCCAAGTTCCGTCGCCCGCATGCGTTACTGATCAGGCCTCATGATCATATCACAGTTTATCCGAGGGGTTTAGGGTTTAGCCCTTGCCTAAAGAAGTTACCGTAAGTCCTTCAGGTAACAGGTTGCCAGCTCTCACAGCTTATGGCTTTTAGGTTTAGGGTTTGTGCTAGAAGTTCTGCGATCCCAAAGAACACGATAAAGACGTCACAGCTGATGCTTGGGGGATGACAGGACTAGTAAGTAAGGATACAAGTACCTTAAGTACGAGTATAAGTAAGTACACGATTGTGCTCTATAACCCTATAGTTAATAAGTCCGCTGATCCTTTAAGTGACCTCAGCCCACGACTTACATTCAAGAACAGTCTTCGCGGTTAGCACTTTATTGGCCACGCCTTGTCATCAGGCAGCTGAAGCTTGAAGTACCTGATGCAGCTCGGTAACAATACTATACTATACCATACTATACTATACTGTAGTTGCTACTCTGTATCAACACTTGCTGAAGCTGGAGATACCTGACGCAGTTTGATTGCTCGGCTTGGAGGTCGTCGGCGATTTAGGATTTCCGAGCTCCAGGTTGAGGATCAGGGCCTAAAGGGCCTTTGGGATTTGGTGCCTGCCAGAGAATCAGCCCGACGGTACATGGATCCTTAGCTTACTCCTCCAAAAAGCCACGGAAATAGAAGGTTAAACTTTCCGATTCCTACTAAACGATAAGAACCCAACAAGTTTAAAGGTTGGGTATCAGGGATATAAGTTAGAGATAGTCCGTCGACTCGTGGTGTCACAACTGTAAACCTAACAGCACATACCAGAGCAACAAACTAAGACTGGAAATGCTGGCAGCAACGACAGTTAGTAACATTGAGCTCATGAATGAACACGGAATAAGGTATATATGAGTAAATAATCGCAAGAATGACCATCATACTAGTACTGTACAAGTAGCAGAGTACGGCAACAACCATAGTAATTATTTAGCAGCATGAATAAGAACCCTGATTCTGATGAGAATATGAACAATACCAGCAAGAAGTAACACAAATCCTGGTAACACTATCGCAATAATCAAATCGTGCCGGGCAAGGACACAGAAATCACCCCAAACCGCGTTGCCAGACAAGCAGTTAAGCCACGCACAAGATCCCCAAACCCCTACTATCGATCAACACCCCGTAAGTCATGCATATATGGGAGTTTCCGAAATTTAGGGGTACCTTATTCTGGGGTCCTTATAATAAGCATCCTATTGTTTGGAATACTATACTAGGGTCCCCTATTTTTGGAAGCTCCCACATGAAAAAAGGCCGCATGGCTTCCACAAAACCAGGCTAAAGATCTTTGTCTCACGACGTTATTCGGTATTCGACGGAAATGGGGCTCACCGCGCCTTAAGATCGAAACCCTCAGCCCGACACTCCAAACCGCTTGGACATGAACAAACAAAAGCCCTAAACCATGAAACTCCAAACTTTGTACACCCTTCACCGCCTTCGCCCTCAAACTCTCACCTCGACACCAAACTCGCTCGTCAAAATCCTCAAAGCAAGCGTTGCACCAACGTGGTCTGGCCGGTTTAAAGTTTAGGAACTGTGCGGTTTAGAAGTAGGGTTGAGGGCGGGGCTGGACTTTGAAGTAACCAGGGAGAAAAAAGTATAGACTTTTATTTCATAATGGTTCCTTGAAGGAACGGGTACCAAAAGAAGTACGTATTCAAGTATGGTACTCCAAACCCAGGGGGGGCACAAGTTGATGGCCAAGGTAGACACGAAGCTCGTGCCTGGCGCTTGCGGCGACGGATTCAGAATTGCGGGTCATAGACTTCAGATGACTTCAGGCTTACCCTAAGGGTCCAGGTATCTCCTTAGGAGGGTCCGGCATGTCCTAGGGAGAGTCCTTGGGTCTCTTTGGGGTCTCAGAAACCCTCAAATTAGAGGTTCCCCAGTTTGTTAGGACCCTTAGGGTACCTCCGGGGCAGGTAAGGTTTCGGGTTGGGTTGTTTTGGATCGCTAGGGTTTTCAGGACGGGGATTGATGGGGAGTTGGAGAGCTTTGGTCTTCTGACTGCAGACTTCAGAAGCACTATTCCGGCATTTCAAAGGGGAATAATGGGGACCCTTAATGGGGACCCCTACCCCTATAATGGGCTATAATATGGGTATATACTAGCTATATTCAGGGTATATACCTAGGGGTCCTTATTAGGGGTCCCTCCTTTTACCCTTGGAGGCTTTGCTGCCATCCAAGTCTCGAGCCCATCGTCCCAAAGCCGTCGGGTGAAAGGCTTTAGTCTTTAGTGTACAGCTCAGTTTTCAGGGTGTACCTTAACCTACCAAAACCTACTCTTTTTTGGAGGGTCCCTGTAAATTCCATATTAGGGTTTGTACTACAAAAAACGGGGTTCGGTAGGTTAAGGTAGCATGTCGGGTTCAAGGCGCAGGATTGATGCGGAAGATATGGATAAAGTGAGCTGCCCTCTTGCTGGAGGTGACCCCTGGTTTAGGGTTTAGGGTTTAGGGTGTAGGGTTTAAGGGTTTAGGGTTTAGGGGTCAGCGGCCAGGAGAAAATTTGCCGTAGTGTTAACACAATGACCTCCACCAAAGAAAAGTGCGCAGACCGCCGGTGCCGTCGAGGAGTCGCGCGCAAGCTTCATGAGGGCATCACGGCACGGATGCGATAGGGTCTTGCATCATCAAGCGAGCTGTGCCATGTGGACCAGATAGTCGAACGTGCTGGGATTTAGATTGAGGCCTGAGGGATTAGGCACGTTTGGGGTTGATGTGGCTGAGAGTTTCAGGTTCTTGTTAGCGAATTTCAAGTTACCATAACCTACCAAGCCCTACATGTTGAAAGGTTCTTATTATAAGCTCTAGCCAAGACTTTGTAGGGACCCTACAAAAAGTATGTAGGTTCGGGATAAAGCTTCTTGACTCTTGACAGGACCCAGGTTTGGGGCTTGGGCGACAAGGCCGCTCATCCTACATCGCATGGTCATCTCATCCCATGGTGGGGTTCCTTATACGTATTCATGGACCCTGAAACCCTGTTCTAACACACACTACCACAGCCCTTCAGGCCTGCTGCCGTACTTAAAGGATCATGGGACTTAGACTTAGTAACTACTTGGAGGGTCGGGGGACTTACTGAGTAGTTATTTTAGACAGTTATAAGTACCATAACCCCAATTAGGGTCCCTTTTAAGGTACTTATAACTCTACTTGTTACCTACTTACTAAGTCCCCCGACCCTCCAAGTACGGTTCCTCAAAGAGCTCCTCTAACGGCTCTATACGGGATCTCTACAGGGGCTTCACACACACTTGTAAGAGTGGCTTCTACCCCTGTGATGCTGCTTAAAGGATCATGGGACTGAGTAACTACGATTATACATAAGGTAACTATAGTTGCAATTACTTAATATAACCCTACTTTGAACAGATTTATATCCTGACCTACTAAGTCCCAGGATCCTCTAAGTACGGACCCGGAGAGACCCACTTATTACATTTTGCAGGGGCCTCAAAAATTAGAACAGGGTTTCAGGGTGCCTCAATACGTATAAGGGACTACGAAACTTTCAAGGGATGACCATACTAACCCATAGTATTTACGGGGCATCAGGCTCTTTGAACTAGACTGCACCATCCAGCCAGAACAGGCCAACTTCAGGTCGCAGCACTTCAGCGTTAATCCTCTCCCGCCCTAGTGGCAAAATATCCAAACCGTCAAGGGTGTTGGCTACCAAACACCATGCGTATTTAATTATCGGGTTTCGGGAACGAAAACCCATTCAGGAAGGACCGAGAACATGGATGTTCCAGGAATCTGTTTTAATGTATTCTGCAGAGTTTCAAGGGCTCTTGGGACTGGCAGATTTCGAGGTCGATAGGCTTGATATGCAGTTTTGGGCTCTCCGTAGATTGTACCCGAAACCCTAAACTCTTTTAGGATTTAGGGTGCGAGGTCCATTAAAGTCAGGGGTTGTGGGTTCTCTTGCTGTCCAGGTGCTGCGGGAAGCAACTTGGATCAACTTCTCGGCTATTGTGGGCGCCTGGCATCCAGATCGTTGCCTCTACCTAAGCCCTGAAGAACCTACCTTTTTAGGTTCCTTATTATGATTTCCTTATATAAGTCCTTAAAAAGGGAGGTTCTTCAGGGTTAAGGTAATTCCCCAAGAGTCAATGTACTCATATAGTATATACGTTTTCCTTAATATAGTCCCTATTTAGGTACTGGGGGGCCCAAGTATATGCTATATGAGTACATGGACCCTTGGAGAAGTCTAGTTAGAAGGGCGGGTAAGGGGTTCTATCAGAATGGCACATGGAATCTTTGGAATCTTCAAGGGGTTTTCGGGTTTCAAAGCACTGGGAAACGTGATGCGCCGAAGACTGAGTACCCTAAACTCTCGGAGCCATGGTAAAGTCGCTAGAATGGGCAATGCAGAGTTTCGTCCACCAGCAATGGGACACACTTTGCAATTCAATAACTATACAAAAGGAGGCATCATGTCACAGCTTAAACGCACTTGTGTTACTTACCGCCAGGGTCCAAGTGCCCAATAAGCTTATACTTCCCAAATATTAACCTATACATAGCTACTAACTATCCGACATCCTAAACCCAACCCCTAAACCCTAAACCCTAAGCCCTAGACCCTAAACCGCCAAGTACCTCATCTTTGGGTCCTTTGGACCCTTGGAGTTGGCTAAGGAACGACACTACCGGCCGCGCACCCACAGAACTTACTATCCGGTAATTAATGTAGGAACCTGATTAAGAAACCCTGGGCGTATAACCCCCAAAATAATAGGGTTCATATAAGGAAGAGAGAGAAATCTTTGTGAGGAAGCCCGCCAGGTGGAAGAGCTCCCCAAGGAAAAAGTGAAACCATGAAGTCATATCATGCTGGTAACCGCCGAGGACGTTCTTGAGAATGCACACGGGGCCTACTTGCTACAAAAAACCAGAAGGGGTGAGAGGGCCTAAACCACAAGCCAGAGCAGGAGGTAAGGCAGATAACCGATCATGGCACCACTAGCCGTATCGCATTTTCAGAACAGCAGCTCTGACAGCGAGATGCCATGCTAAGACAGCCTGATCATAAGGAGCGTTTCGTCCTAACGGCCATCCAAGGCGACGCTGCGCAGCGTCAACAGGAACCGCAGGGCGGTCAATGTCAAGGGGCAAAGAAGGGCATTCCCAAAGGATATGCTCAGTAGACCCCACAGAGCTCAAGCAGAAAGGACATGTGACATCATTGCCTTGTGCGCGTGCATAAGCGGCAGGAGACATCAAGGCTCCTGAAAAGCTGGCAAGGTGGGCATGTGAAACACAAGCTTTACGAACGAGGGCCACGCGCGCTTCACTGTAACGCAAGCCCCGACAGGAAGAAGCATCATTACGCTCGGAGCGCTGCCAGCGCAGAAACAGCGCGCATCTCCACCCCTCCCGAAGGAGGTGCAGGCAGGCATCGAGAGGTCTCCAAAATGGAGACGCAGGGTCAAGAGACACTTGCGCAGCAATGGTAGCATGACGCCACGCCCACTGGTTTAAGACCGACCAGCCGAAATGCTTAAGAGAGCGAGAAATCACAGAAGACCAACCTCTCGTGCGACGCCAGTCACCCGGAGCGAGACCAGTAGAACTAGCCCGCCTCCAAGCCGCAGCGAAATTGGATTCAAGAACGCGATAGGCAAAGCATAAGCGATGCCCACGCAACAGCTTGCGAAGATCAGGAGAACCATAGCGAGGCTCGCGCATATAAACAGCGACCTGAGTGTCAAAACGATCCATGGCCCGCTTGACAGGAAGTTGCAAACAAGCGCCCCAAGCCGCAGTGGAAACGGCAACAGAGGCAATAATCACATGCCTGGATTTCCACGAAATGGGAAGACATGCAGCCCGACGCAAGAGCGCAAGGGCCTTGCAATACCGATCAGTCTCCTTGGCATTAGCACGCCTGGCACGAGCACCACGAAACGAATTGCCAAGGATGCAGGGCTGATCGGTAACCTGATCAGCAGGCATGCTCTCCAAAAGTGAGCGCCTGCCCCATGCCCTAGCATGGAAAAACTGCGACTTCTTCAAGTTATCACGCAAACCGAGAAGCCCATTCCAAGACGCCCAGACGCCTTGAATGGCGGAAGCCTCTTGCAGGGTGGGAGAGGCCCAACTCCTGTCATCAACGTATGTGCGGATAAGCGAAGCAGGAAATGCGGACACAACCTCCGCAGTAGCAGGTGTCAAGACCGCACACATAGCAATCATAGACCAAGCATCCCCCTGCGGAAGACTAGTGCCTACCTTAACCGGAGAACCCAAAGAGCAGCCCTCGAACTCTAACCAACGGAGTTGATCAGACCACATGGCGTTGAGCATGGACCAAACGTGAGCCGGTATCCCAAGGGCCTCAAAGACCACTCCCGCGACAGCCGGAGAGCAGTGATCAAATGCCAGGGCGTAATCTAAGGAAAAAACGAAGTGATCCCGCATGGCACAATCCATGAGCGGGGCGAGCGCGCTGTAAAGTTCACGGCCTTTAAGACCGCCGCAAGCTTCAGAGGGCCACCATGACCTGATCCACTGTTGCGCCCCCGAAGAACGCAAAGTAGCACTTGACCAAAGCCGATACCAAGAAGAGAAAATAGTGATTGGTCTAAGGCTATCAACCTCCCTAGCACCATCAACCTCTCTTACACCCTTGCCAGGTTTCGGCAGGTGCACCTGCCTGGCGTTTTTCCAAGAGGAAGGTACATGCGATGAAGTTTCACACTCCTTGCAAAAAGCATCAAAAGCAGCGAAGAACTCCAAAGGAAAGTCAGCTAACTCACTCCCGTACCACCCGTCGGGCGACGCCGCCCTGGAGCGCAGCTTGGTGGCCGAAGCAGCCCATTCAGAAGGAGTGGGTCTAGCCCACTCAGTGTTGTCAGGCACAGGCATGCGCCGCAGCGCCTGAAGCACCCTAGCGCGCAAGGCATCGAGGTCAGGAAGCGTGCGATTCCAAACAGATAACCACTTCTCTTTGATGAGCTCCAAAGAAGAAGTCACATCGTCAGTGGCACACGGCTCGGAATGCGAAAACAAGCCCATAAATGGCGAAGCAATGGCAGATCTGATCCACCGGAAGCACTTAGTCTCATCATTGCGCATGTTGTCCCTCCAGCTCGCCATCCTAAGACGTTGAGCTTCAGAGCGACGTCGATTGATCTGCTCTCTCAGAGAATTAGAATTCTGCTGAAATGTACGGCTAGGGTCAAACCACGGACCTTGAACCTTGCTACACAAGTTGGCAAAAGAGGCCGTGTGAGAGCGGCCCAAACGCTCCAGCTTGCACAACTCCTGTAAACGAGCATACGTGTTGCGCATACGGCGCAAGCGATAGCTTTCAAGGCAATCATCCAACTGACCCCGCAGAGGTAGGCCCTTCTGAAGACAAATTTTGTCCTTCAACCTGCATGGAGGGATAGGCAATCGCTCCTGAGGGAACTGCTCACGCGCTTGGGACCAGGCATAACGCAAACACACCTGGAAACGGATGCTGAGCTCGCACCAACTCTCATCAACATCCGCCTGAGTGTGCAGCTGAGGGCATCGAAAATCATTCAGCTGGCGCCACTTTCTAAGCAACCAGGTCTGCCACAAGAGTTTGGGCACAAATTTAGGCCTAGACAGGTCAAAATGCTTACGCAAGCGATTGACAGTGCGGGCTCTTAAGGATCTACGGGGAAAAATGCTGAAGCACAAACCTTTATGATCCGAAAAGGCATCTTCACAGAATTGGGGGCTAGAGAAGCACTGCATGCAATTTGCCACGGCGAAGTCAATGCAACGATTACCTTCGAAACGAGTCGGAAGGTTACTGCCATGACCGTCCGTCACAGCAAACAGAGAAAAGCCGTCGTCAAGAAGGGTCTCAGCGACAGGGCAAGTGGCCGGCTCATCATTGAAATCACCTACAACCATAAACGGTGTGTCACGTGGGAAGAGAGTCGAGGACTCGAAGATGTGCTGCACCATTGGCAGACGTACCTGCGTAGGAGGCTGGTAAACACATGCTACCGCAACATCACCGACGAGAACTGTGACGCATTGAAATTCAAGCTGAGAAATACTGCAAAGCTGACGGCAACGAAGCCGCGCATGCACAAGCAACATGACACCGCCCCAGGCCTGGGGTCCACGCTGCACCGAAGAGGCACTGAAAACTCGAAAACCATGCTTGGAAGCAAACCTAGTAAAACTATGCAACTCACTAGCTTTGAACCCGATTTCTTGCAAAGCAATGATATCATATTTACGGCAATGTGCGTATCGAAAGCACTCCCATGTAGCGGCACCGCGGCCGACGTTCTGAGAGAGCAACTTCAAATCAGATTCATCCGACCCCCAAGGACCAGGATGCGGATGAATGTCACCGTGAGTGGTGAGGTCAGGCATCCAACCGGAAATGCTGGGATATGGAATGGCACCGAGAAAGGTGCAAACAGTCATGAAAGAGCCTAGTCAAGCTGTCACTTTGAAGAACGCGTCAATCTCCTCAAAGGTCTTTCCGACAGCAGCAGCAAAGTTCGCTGCAAACAATGGCTCCTTGGCCTTGGTTCTAACCCACCAGGATCTACGAGTTGTCAACGCAGAAGCATTAGAATCACGCATCATCCTCAAGCGTTGTTTGCAAGTGAGCAACTTACACTTCGCAGTGCCCTTCAACATGCGAGTAAGGCAAACCTTACAAAAGTAGATAGAACCTCGGAAGCCTGTCTGGTTTTGCTCAACAGGCAACACCGGGACAAGATCATGTGTGCGATGCTTTTTTGCAACAGCTTTACTGTGGATTTTTGCAGCAGCCTCGCCGATTTTGGTGCTCTTCTTCTTAGCACCTTTGAGCCTCTTGTAGTGGAGTGACGACGGGGTTTCATCAGGATGGCAAGCCTCAATGTGGGCAGCAACCGCGCGCAATCTGTCCTGGTTGGGCAGCTTCGGTAAAGCGGCACCACAACCAGGCATCGGACAACTCCAGTCCTGTTGTTCAGGCGGCAAATCATAAGATACCGAGAAAACCTGCGGTTTCTGTCTTTGCACAAGATGTATAGGCACATCAGGATGGCGAGTACGCATGTGGTAATTCTTCCTCGTGATGACACCAGAGTATTGTCCCTTAAAGACAACATCACAGTAAGGGCAAGGCCATTCCGCATGAGAATTGGCCAAGGCGGCTTTTGGGCGCCGCGGTGTCTTGAGGGCAGCCGGCTTCTTTAAAACCCTTGGCCTAGCAAGACGCTTCGGCTCGACAGGGACAGTGATGCGCTTTTGAGCTTCCGTAGAACCCTTGATTTGTGCCCTCTTTCGAGAAGAGGACGAGGACGCATGCGGGCTAGCAGAGCCAGCGCAGAGGGACGCCTCAGGCCTAAACCGAAGATGTGCACCCGACTCAGGTGCCACACTACCAGCGCGAGAAGACGCAGCAACACTGCGCATGCCCCCCCCGGGAGAGGCAACTCGAAGGATTTTGCCAGGCTTAAACCAGGAGGCTAAAGAAGAAGCATCATCATTCTTCCCAGCGCCCCGCACAAAAGCTCCCTTGGGAGTGGCATGCTTCCAGGTTTTGAAAAGCTTGCTGTAATCGTTGATGGTACGATAGTGATCATCACTCAACAAAAGAATGATCGGATCTCGGAGAAGATCTTCACTTGCTTGGATTCGGGTTGTCATGTGCCAAGTATTGTTGGCACGCTTCTGAAATACCAAAATGTCAGTCTGCAAAGCACAAGCAATAGCCTGCGCAACTAGACCATCAAGCCATCTCGAAGGTCGCATGATGGCAGCGAGATACTCATCAGCATTCGTGGGCACTTTGCCATCTTCCTGCAATTCAGTGGCACTAGGATCAACCGCCCAACTATCACGCCATTCCGGGTGGGTGGCAAGCCAGTTGTGTGCCTTAGCTTTGACAGACATGGCTAACTTATCAATCGCGGCAGTGATAGACTCAGCGGGCTTGCCAGATCTCAATGCCATGGCTGCCGCGATGGCTCTATACCCGCAGTCTCCACTTCCGCCTAGATCCCAAACGATAGTGCCTTGGGGACCAGGCTCTGTCGTTGACTTACCGCGCTTGACACCCTTCTTGCCTTGTAACTCCGAAGCAGCAACAACCTTTTGCTTTTTGGCTTTGGGCTTCTCGGGTGTCTTAGCTTCTTTGTCCGCAGAAGACTGATCAACATCAGGTCGCATGTTTTCTCCAACAGGAGACGTGCTAGCCTGTCGAGGCGAATGCGCAGCAGTAGGACTCATATCAGCATCATGTGTAGAGTCAATTTGCGTTGGGCCGGTCACGACCGGCTCAGAAGGCTTGCCACTGAACCAAGCCGAGCCACGACCAGCCTTAGTCTCAGAGTAGACAGGCTTGGCACGGCTCCAGCGGCAAACGGTGAGAACATGTGCACCAGATTGATAAACCAACGGTTCACCAGCAGAGATAGAGGCAGCATCATCATCAGGCGGCGAAGCAACGAATGTCCACTTTCCTCTAAGGGCTCTTGGAGCTTGCACAAGGCGAACTTCTTTCCACCGGTGGCTTTGCAGCCAATTTTCCATGGTGTGCGGGGACCAGTCGGTGGGAACCCCAGTAACCGAGAATTTACTGGAAGTTTTGGCCTCACCTTCCACACCTCTTAGACCCAAACATGCCCCAGCTCCCCGGCGACATGCCAAGGGGGCTTTAGCAGCAGACGCATCAGTCAAGCAGCGGCGAAAGTATTCATCAGAAGCTTCGCCGGAATAACGTTCAATCCACTTGACCGGTCGACGGACAGGTTTGTCACATGACAGAGGTTCGCAGAAAACGCCATGTCGGCCTCCAGACTGCAACAGCATGGCCGATACAGCCTTGGAGGCCTTGGCGTAACCAATAAGCTGGAGCTTGCCATCGACCTCAGCTTCGCGCCACCCGTAAGATCGGGCTTCGGCGCCTCGCGGGAGAATCTCCTGCAGAATCCTACCTGGATCACGGCGCATCTTGGTCCAAGCATCAGGCATGAACTCCTTGCGGAACATAAGACGAATTGCAACACCCTCGTCAGTAGAGGGGGTGGAGGCTTTCCTAACCTCGGGTTGTTTCGGGAAGACAGGCAAATCAGCACCAAGAGGTACAATTGGCATACAGATGGCACCCTCACGCTCAGACATGAGCCAGTGCGTTTTTGCGCCGGGCGGTAAATCCTTGCTATCGGCGCGTTTATCCCACAAAAACAGTGCAAACTTGCAGCTATCAGTGAGGAGATTATGTACTTTGGCCACGGCTTGAAGCTCTACCACATTGTCAGCTTTAACGAGAGCTCCAATAGCATTGTCAGGCATTTCCCCACTATCCAACTTGGCACACAAGGCGCGATAAGAGATCACTTTGGAAGCGAGCTCTCCCTGGATCTTCGGAGGCCTAGCGAACAAAGCATGTTCTTTATCAGGCTGATTCTTAACATCACGCGTGGGTGCAGGAGCACGTGCCCTGCTCTGCTCCACTGCACGCTGCGGCTTCTGAGGCTGAGTGGGTGGCCTCGAGGAAAACTTAGAGAGGATCCCTTGAACAGCATCAGCCAATAGTTTATTTCCAGCTGGCCCTTTGTACGAAGAATGCTTTGTGAGCAAGCTACTCAAAGCACTCCAAAGGTCATCAGAATTCTGAGATTCAGGCTTGGCATTGGGAACATGCGCGGAGTCCTCATCATCTTGGTGCCGGATTTCCTCCAACAACTGCAAAAGCAGACGTTCTTGTCTCTTACGTTTAGTAGCACTGGCCCCCGCTGCCCCTGCACCGCCACGGAGCGACGCATGCAAAGGCAAATTGGGCCGACACAAAGCATGCCACGTGCATGCAGGCTGAACAATGGAAGATGGCAGAACATACCTTCTACAGTATCGACGCTTCCAAGTGAATCGACGTCGATTAACGAGTCGTGCGTTGACCAGCTCAACTGGTGGCGAAATCTCGGAATGCTCATGAGCAATGCGGAATCCCATAAATGCACAAATAACTCCACAGAGGAGCATGACAGAAGCACAAGGTTGCAACCATGCAGCACCCAAGGCCATCAGGATTACATTGCATACAGGGATAACTTCGCACCAGGAAGAACTGGTCCGCATCCACCACGAGGAGGTATACCCGAGGATGCGGTTCATATAAGGAACCCTAATAAAGACTAGACTCGAACTACGAAAGCTCAAGCATCAAGCCAAGCGGTTAGCTGGGAAGAGGCGACTATGCGCGCTTGCTCTCTGCGAAGAAGAGGTCCTCTGCGATCGGTGTCCCTTGATTCTTGGCGAAGTTCTTCTTCAGCGCACGCAAGTGCCGCAGTGAGCTACCGACGACTCACATGCGGCGGCACCGATTGTGAGCAACACGTGCCCATGATCCCTGGGCTGCGACCGTGTTACAGCCTTACCAGGACCTTGGCCGTTGCAAGGAAAGCCTCCTCCTTGACCAAGTCCAGAGTAAGTCGGCCTCGGCCCTCCAAGCAGACACTCCGCGACCTCCTCCATCGAGAAGTTGCACTTCTAGATCAACCCGGCACACAGCAAGTTCATCAACGCCGCCCCCATTGCCATGTCCACAGTGACGCTTGGCTGTGCTGCGCTTCCAACGGGGCCCGAGGGTGGAGCATCCGGAATTTCTGGGCTGGTCCCCTAGAGAAATCTAGCGAATATGTGGTAGAAACAAGTTAAACATCGTTCAAGGTAGTTTAACAAAGTTTACGTAGGGCGTGCTAGAAAGCAATGCAACGCCGCACCCCAGCCCATTCATGGCTCTGCCTACCTCGAACACAACATTCATAAGCAGAACACCCTCGAACAGAACCAAAATTAATTAAACAACAATCAAAGCCCCAAACCCCTAAACCCCCCGTTTATGCTCGAATTTACAACCCAAAGACTAAGCCCTTAGTGGCAGGGGACCTAGTACAGACTGCCAAGAGAAAAACGTTGCGCCCTCGGCCTCTCCGGCTTTGCTAGCGCCCCTTCGGAGGAAGCTCAGGGCAGCAGCACAAACTCCTGCACCTGGCGATCTCCGTTCCGACTTCCTAAGAAGACTGACGGTTTAGCGGTTGGGGGTGTAGGGTTTGAAACTTTAGGGATTTAGGGCTTAATTAATGTCTGGGGTATAGGGTTTGGGGCACTAGCACACATCCGCTTTCTCTCAAACGAAGGATGTGGGGCTTCTGTGCGGCTACAAGCAAGGGCTGGTTTGGGATTTGTAAGGGCTGCTGGGTTCAGGACTTTGGTATAGTGACCTTGGGGTTTATCGGGCTAGATCAGTGTCCTGGGCTCTTGCAACTAGCAATTCACTGCCTTAACTTAGGACTCAGGGCGCAGTATAGGGGTCGGAACTCACCTCGACATTATTCCTTAAGGTTCCTGACTATAACTATGTACTATAACCCTAAACCCTAAACTCCCTAAGCATACTTATGGAGGAACTTAGGCCAAAGACCCTGCAAACCCCTCATGAAAAACGCATAGAGGCCCGAAGGAGCCCCCTGTTCAAAGCCACGAGCGGCTCCGGGCTTAGGGTGTGCCCTAAGGCTCTTAAGAGGGTCATGGGCTTTCTGGAAAAGGGTGTTGGGCTTGGCGGGCTAGGGTTTGGGATCTCATTACAAGGGTCCAGGAGCGTCAAGGTACGGCTTAGGACGTTTAGTGCTCAAGGGGGCCCCTCTGTTGGCATGTCAGGGCTTGGGAAAATAGGATGATGTCCGGGATCAAAAGCGCAAAGTTAAATATGGTGTCCTCAACAGTTTGAATACGGTTTCGGGGCCAATGATACTATAGTTATAGGGACGGTGAGGATGATAATGACTGATGGATAACAATTTGATGATTCTTAAAAGCCAAGCCCGTTTATGACGAGGATGATAAGGCTTAGTCAGGCCCGACACAGCCCAGGTTCAGTGGCTGAAGGCGGTGTTAGTAACTGCTCCAAACTGATGCTTCAACCGTTTAGGTCGCATCTGACGCAAGCCCGCCCGCTGCAAGGTTGAAGAGAACCCGGATGGACGCAGGATCTGACATCAGGTCATTAAGCGCCCCTGGCCACTGCAACATCAGAGGTCCAGTTCTGTCTGCGGCAGGTGGCAGAGCACTCGAAGATACGAGGACAGCTTCCTCATTGCCTACGTTGGCATCGAGATGCTGTGGACACATATGGGCATTCATGTGTAAGATATACGATGCAGCAGATTGCAGCGCAAAGCCCCGTTCACGGCACTTGTAAAAGCCATGCTGCTACCTTATAGCAACCGTTAAGGAGATCTACTTACTACTATGCAATAGGCTTTAGAGAGACCCAAAGAACCCTAAAACCCTCAAAGAGGAGGGAAGAGCCCTTCACCTAACCCTGCCTGTATCCCCAAACCCTACAAAATAGTAGGTTATGACCCCTTAATTAGAGGGTAGAACCCTTAAAACGGTAGGTTTTCGGATCCCAAGGTGAACCCTAAACCTTACACCGTTGTTGCTGAAACTTGTCGGAGGGACGCAAGGATGATGTCCAAGGGCTGCTCCTGGCACGGATCTGCGAAGTTTCGTCGTCAGAACTCTGGGGACCCGGAGGCCACAGAAGGTGGGGAAACACACAGTCCTAAACCCTAAACCCTAAACCCTCAACCCTCTGAAGAATTCGATAACCTCAGGCTTTTTTGGGGGGGGGGGGGGGGGGGGGGGGGGGGAGGGTGGTAAATCAAGCAGAATTGTGCTGGCGTCTATGATGCATACGAGCCCTCATCTGAGTACTAACCTTCCCAGCCCCAAAAAAAGGGGCCTTGGGTTAAGCATGGCTTTGGACTTTTGCATGTGCATTGTGGGTAGTGGGGCTGAGCGACTGTGAGCTTAGACTGTTTTTGGGGTTTTAGGGTGTTGAGTTTGGGTGCTGGGATTTTGTTTATAGGATTGTTGCGACTCGTAAGGTCAGCCTTCGCCCTACCGACCTTCATCTCACCACTGCAATGCTTGACCCTAAATTACTAAATCCCAAAACCGTGCCAGATCCTGAACCCTGCTTGAAAGGTCGGGGGACTTAGTTAGTAGTTCGTTTGTTTGTAAAGTAAAAACGACTACAACGCCAACTAGGACCCCTTTTTGGGGTACATATTATATAACTCTATACAAGAACTACTAACTAAGTCCCCCGATCCTCCAATTAAAGCAGCAAGCCGTGGCAGGATCGCTGTCCCCGCGCCAGGCACATTGCATGCTGGAACTCGACAGCATCGACGCAGACGTCGTTCAGGCCCTCGGAGTTTAGGGCTTAGGGTTACCCTAAACCCTGAACCCTCGGACGGCCGTGCCCACTGGAGCTCTGGGTCCCTTGAAAAGCCCTAAGGGTCCAAGTAGTCCTTATTTATGGTTTTGGGTGCCTAAAACGGCCCAAAAGTCCCAACATAGGGAGTACCTGGGCCCTTAGTGAAAAGTTTGGAGATTCAGGACATTAGGGTTTTGAGGCTTGGATTTGGGTCCGGCATGGGGCGTAGGGCTTGGGATTTAAGATTTAGAACTGTACCTAAAGGACACAGAAATTATGTATTGTATAGTTACATGGGTAGTTGTCAAAATTAGGGTCCCTTTTTTTGGATCCCTAGTATAGCACGGCACCTAACATTAAGGGTGCCCAAAAAGGGACCATAATTTTGACAACCACCCACATGGACCCTTCCTCTCCAGCCCTTAGGAACGTAAGAAAAAACCTGACAAACTTGGGAGCTCCCGATGAAAGAAGACATTTGCCAACAACACGCAGAGCGCACAAAAAGCACAAGGGACTGAGGGCTCGAAGTTTAGGGTTTAGGGTTTAGGGTTTAAAGATTTGAGAGGGGGAGTTGAGGGATATGGAGTTACATTGGGTTGAGGGCTTGGTGGACATAGAGGTTGGGGCTTAGATTATGTGGGAGTTTCCGAAAACAGGGAACCCTAATTAATGTAGTACCCTAAATAGTAGGATCCTTATGATAAGGACCCGAAAATAGGTAGCCCTAATCTTCGGGAAACCCCCATTTGGGGTTCCTTATTGCTGAGGCTTAGGGCAGCAGCGTTGCTGGGAGGGTGGCCCTGGTGCGAATAGGAAAGGGTCTTAGTAGTTCGAATTAGAGGTTTGGCGGGAATGCTACAGTCTGTCTTCTGGACTACTGGCTTACATTCAGAATTCAAGATGACTTGGGTTTATGGCTCAGGGTTTAGGGGTTTGGATTCCCAAGAACTCATAAACCTGGACTGTCAACCCAAAAAGCATCTTAAGTTGCAGGCCGTGACGTATGCATGGCTGTACTGGCACGCAATTCGGCAGTGTAGCCTTCTTTAGAGAACACCAACATCATGTCGTGATGCACGAACAAAATGAATTTTACAAGTTCTGATTCTGATGGTGCTCCGGTGCGTTCTGGCCCGAGTTGAATTTGCTGTCGTGGCATTGTGTCAAATGCCTTGTTGAGGTCCAACGAAAGTTGAAGTCCTCCTTTGAGCTGTGCCGACTGTCTCTGGTGAGAAAGCGGATTGGGCCACAGCGATGCAACTGGCTGATTAAATGCCGTGCAATGAGCAGCCACCCTATCGAGGGCGTCCGATGTCGGACGAGAGAGCACATATGCAAACTGCGGTTGATCGCGCATCGCTGGCTCCATCAGCGGTCTCAATCCTTGTGCAGCAAGACCTGCTAGCATTTTCGATCGGAGGCAACAGACTGATGGGGCGAAGAGTCGCCGGTGTGTTGGGGGGCTTGGACGGCTTCGGAAGCAATGATACGTACACACCATCCCACTCGTCCGGCAGGATAAGCCGAGATGCATGGCCGGACAGCCCGTGCTCGTCCGGCCACAAACAGGCTGCCGCCTAAGATCAGGCCCGGGGCCATGGTCCTGCTGGATGATGATGAAAGGCCGAGGAAGACGATGGCTCTGTCCCTCTACGGGAAGAGCAGAAAAGGGCCATCAACCCGAATATAGGAGCCTTATTATAACAATCAGAACTGGGCTTCGGGGTGTGTTCTCTGGATTGAGTAGGCGCTGCAAGGGTATGAGGGTATGAGAATTACTATAGTATTCAGGACTTGATATAACCCTCAACCAAGTCTCAACCTCAACGCCAATGAAGCGTCAAATATGCTTCGAAGAGTGGTTTTGAGGTGTGTTATGCAATGTCACAAACCTGAACAAACCAACTATGCATAATTAGAACCCGAGGCAACAAAATTGGTAGCTACTCCGACCCCTCTCTGCATTAATCACATTGCCCTCAGGGAACCGGTATGTCCCTAAGAGGGTCCGGAATGTCCTGGGGAGAGCCCTTGGGTCTCTTTGAGGTCTCAGAAATCCTCAATTTTGAGGTTCCCCAGTTTGTTAGAACCTTTAGGGCAAACCCTAAACCCTAAAACCTAGACCCTAACTAAACCCCTAAACCCTAAACCCCTGACCCTTAGGGTGAAAAGTCTCAAGAGGCCGGGGATCTAAAACCAACAGGGAGCCCGTGCACCAAAACACACAAAGCACCCAAACCCCCTAAGCCCCATACCCTTCACCCTTTGCCCCTAGTCCCTAAAAGGCTGCATTCCTAAACCCTAAATAAAACCCTACATCCTGAAGAAAGGAGCGAGGGCGCGGCGCGTCCGGCTTCAGCCTTTCATGCCGAAGCATGCTTAGGTTTTAGGGTTCGGGGTTTAGGGCTTAGGGGTTACGGTCTCAGCTTCTTTGGGGCTTGTTTACAAACTTTGAAATATTAATTACACCAGAAAAATCATCAGATCTACAAGGAGCCATCTCGGTAGTCACGAAACCCTTGTAGACGCCAAGGCCTAAGCCCCTAAATCGCAAACTATACCATGACCACCGGGTGCCTTCCCCGTAAAAAGCCCAAGAGTGCTCCCCGAACGATCTGGGTCCCTTGGAAGAGTGTCTCAGGTTAGGTCCGCTTAAAATCACGGTTGTCTTAAGTCTTGTGCTTTGTTGGCGGCCCTTTTCCTCAGGGTTTGGGGTTTAGGGCTTTAAAAGGGATCCCAACCTACTAGTGCGACCAACAGCTGACTTTTGGGGTCCCGAGCTTAAGCTTTCTGTTACAGTAAGGGGTCACAGGGGCAAGCGGAATTTGGGGAATTGAGGGATATGGAGTTTCCTTGAGTTTAGGGCTTGGTGGATAGAGAGGTTGGGTTTTAGATTGTGTAGGTGTTACACTACCCCAACAAGGTCTTGAAGGCTCCACATCTCGACCGCACACGATGAAGGGATAACCCCGTGGCCCTGAAGACTTAAGCAACTTATTCTATACATAACACAACCAAAACCCGACCATGGAGGACACAAGCAAGTACCCCAAAGCCTTATAGATAGCCTCAAATATTATCCATTATCTAGTTAAAGATCCCTAGGTTCCCTGAACCCGAGGCTCTCCAGACCTGTAAATCCTAGACAGTCCCGCGAAACTCCAAACCCTACAAGCCTACTGCCCTACATCCCTAAACCCTAAACCCCTATGTAAACCCCCAACCCCTAAATCCCTAAACACCTAAAACCCTAAACCCCTAAACCCTAAACCCCTAAACCCTGGACCCTCCACCCCGAACCCCTAAACTGTAAAATCCTAGACCCCCAGAGCCCTAAGCCCGAAATCGACTCTTCGGACCCTAGCCTGGCTAAGCCGCAGGAGCATGGCGCAAAAGGTTACATCGGAGATCTCCTCAGTCATTGAATCACCGTTGGTCTAGGGTCTATAGGGTTTATAGCGCTAAGGGATTTTAGGGGTTTTGGGGTTTCTAAGGGTTTCGGGTTTAAAAGGGTTTATAGGGGTATAGGGTTTAGGGGCTTTAGGGTTCATAGGGGTTTAGGGTTTTGGGGTTTAGAGACTAACCCTTGATGTGTTCCTTAACCCAGGGTTTCAGGCTCAAGAGGTTTGGGTCCGTGCCACTGGCCAAATGAAGCTCTGGACGCCCTTAGGGTTTAGGGGTTCCATGTAGGGTTAAGGGTTTAGGGTGCCCCTTAGTCCGTAAGAGTTCCTCTGTGTACCCTGGTTCTCGTGTCCCAGGAGCCCAGCGCCAAATCCTGCGAAATGCAGAGTCAATTAGGATCGTTATTTTAACCTAGGGTTCGGGTTGATGTAGGGGGCCCATACATGACCTGAATAGGGTTTCCTATTTGACAGCCAGGAACCCTAACCACAATTAATAAATGCGGATTCAGGCAATAATGTCCCGTAGATACCGGAATACGAGCACCCGACAGCAGGTTCCTAAAGACCTTGAGTTGTGGGGCTTAATGTTTAGGTTTAGGCTTAGGGCTTGGAGTGCTGTAGTGTTTACTTTTGGTCCAAGCAACCATGATCCTGGGGAGCACAAAGCTATGAGGCTTGATTGCGATCCAGTGCTTTATAAGGCTTTAGGCTTTAATTGGGAAGCTTCCCTTGCTCAGATACGCCAACATAAAGTAGCTTTCCGAAGTAGAAGCCCATAAACATCCCTGCAGAAACCCATAAACATCCCTGCAGAAACCCTATGCCTAATGAAACCTCTTTCTCCTTTTGGGGGGTACATCATGATATTGTCAAAATGCGGACCTGAAAGACCAGAATCAGCCATTATTCCGGCTTCTATAAGATAGTCAGGCAAACAACTGCCGAGGCACCCCCGAAGCTCGCAACTCGCGTAGCTTGCTCAAGCTCAGATTCTGCACCTGGCGTCCAAAACTGACATACTCCTCTAAAGGGATGTATAAGGGGGTAAGGGGGTCCTTTAAGGGATCTATAGGGTTAGGGTTGATGATATAAATCCTGCATTACCTTCATGACCCTAAACTATGGGAATTATGTAGTATATTCCTTATCGGTAATGCAGGATACATAACATCAACCGTAGGAGCCTTTATGAACGATTCGACCCCTGGGGTGGTGATCGTATAGATCCTAAAACAGGATACTGCTTTAAGGCGGCCTCGTTATGTTCAGTATCAGGAGAAAACCAGGCCAATACCCTGGTCCTTTAATGTGAACCAGAAGAAAATCTCTGACAGATGTGTTTCTTCTCCATTGGGGACATCTTTAATTTAAAGGACAACACTTAAACCCTAAGCCCTGAACCGCAAAATCCGTAAACCCCCAAACCGCTTCTAGAACCCTCTAATAGCTCCCTCAAACATCTTTTTCTAGAGCCTTGAGGGACGCCTTGTACAATTTCCAGCGAAGCCTTGCAGAACGCATCTAGAAGTCTCCCTAACCCCAAAGCCCTGAACCCTAAACCCCCTATAGATCCCTTAAAGGAACCCCTTAAAGGTATCCGTATAGATCCCTTAAAGGAGCCCCCCAGGATTTCAGATAACTCTACTTGGAGGGTCAGGGGACTTACTAAGTAGTTATTTTAAAGAGCTTTAAGTACCATGACCCCAATTTGGGTCCCTTTTAGGGTACTTATAACTCTACTTGTTATCTACTTACTAAGGCCCACCGACCCTCCCTTATAGATCCCCTTATAATCCCCCTATAGATCCCTTTAAGGAGCCCTTTAAGAATCCCTTTAAGGATCCTTACTAAGTCCCCCGACCCTCCCTTATAGATCCCCTTATAATCCCCGATCCCTTTAAGGAGCCCTTTAAGGATCCCTTTAAGGATCCTTACTAAGTCCCCCGACCCTCCCTTATAGATCCCCTTATAATCCCCCTATAGATCCCTTTAAGGAGCCCTTTAAGGATCCCTTTAAGGATCCTTACTAAGTCCCCCGACCCTCCCTTATAGATCCCCTTATAATCCCCCTATAGATCCCTTTAAGGAGCCCTTTAAGGATCCCTTTAAGGATCCTTACTAAGTCCCCCGACCCTCCCTTATAGATCCCCTTATAATCCCCCTATAGATCCCTTTAAGGAGCCCTTTAAGGATCCCTTTAAGGATCCTTACTAAGTCCCCCGACCCTCCCTTATAGATCCCCTTATAATCCCCCTATAGATCCCTTTCAGGAGCCCTTTAAGGATCCCTTTAAGGATCCTTACTAAGTCCGCCGACCCTCCAAGTAGAAGCTTAGGAGGCTTTCCTGGCCTCGCCCTCAGCAGCATCCTCACCTGCGAGAGCTCAGGATCACGTGAGCAGCACGAAATACTGGGCTTTTCTAGGGCCCGTGATAGTTAGAATCTGTACTTACAATAAGGAGCCCCTGGAATAGCATTAGTAAGATTGGGGCTTAGGGTTCAGGGTTTAGGGGATAAGGCTTAGACGGGAAGGCAGGGTTTAAAGTTTGCAGTTTCGGAAAATCCCCAAACCCGACCGAAAGCCCTAAATCCTGACTAAAGCCGAAAGCCCCGAGCTGGATCTTAAGGGAACGTTGCCTGCTGTCCGCCCCTCTGAGCCCGGAATCCTGAACTAAACCCTACATCCTTTACTAACCCTGGGCTTGGAACATGGATTTAGGAGGATTAGTGCTAGGTTTCCCTATACTGTACCTCAAGGGCATGCAGATAGTGCTGTTCCAACTTTTTGGTCTTACCATGTCTTAAACAGCCCTAAACCCTAAGCCCTAAACCCTGGCCCTAAGGGTCCAAGTACCCAAATAGTAGGGTTTCAAGGTCCAAAAACCATTCAGAGTATGGATTTTGGGACCTGAAACCCTACTATTTGGGTACGTGGACCCTCTGGGTGGGCTTGTAAGGTTTAAAGGCTTTTAAGCTAAAGGTTCAAAGCCCTCCCTGCCTGCCACTGCGGCCGCCATCTCCTTCACGCCGCTCATATCCAGCTTCCTAGCGCCAAGGATACTATAGGGGCCTTAACAATTCGAACAAGATTTGGGGCATATTACATTGCAATACAGTCATAATAGGAACCCAAAATAGTGTCGGTAACTACTTCAGCTAGCCAGAAAAACTCCGCGAATCATGTTCAACAAGAGCCCTTTCAGAGAAGATAACTTGTTTACAGGATCTATAGAGACTTTCCAGACATGCCCCGCAAGAAGCACCTAAGCAGAGAGGCCCCTGCACATGGACTTCAGAAAACCTGAACATAAACCGTAGTTTAGGGTGCAGAGTTTAGGGTTTAGGAACCCTGAACTCTAAACCCTAAACCCTGCAAACCCTGAACCCTCAACCCTAAAGCCTCCTCCAAATCCCAACCCGAAAATCGACAAACCCCTAAGGCCTCAAAGTGCAAGACCCAGAGACTCCAATGTCCCTTAACTAGGAAACATATCTTGAATCATACCATAATTTAAGGCATATTCCTTAACTGAGGGATGTTGGAGTCTCTGGGGACTCAAACCTTAAATCCCCAAGCTGAAAGTTGACTCGCAGAGTCTATATCTTATGCATTCTATGCATGTGAATTTATGTAGGTATATATGTATGTCTGGCTGTCCGAGTCACTGTCTGTCTGTCTGTCTGTCTGTCTGTCTGTCTGTCTGTCTCCTAAACCCTCAACAGTAGATCTGAACCCTAACGCCACCTCGATCGCAGCCGCCCAAAAGCGCCCATGTCCCAGTCGACCTTCGCCGCTCTTCGAGCTGAACGTCGGTGTTTTTGGGCGTTGGATTTATAGCCCAAAAAAAGGGGTAACCTTTTATGGTAGGACTGCTGCTGATGATCTAAATCCTGCATTACCCAGAATAAGGAATGTACCATAATTCCCATACTTTAGGGTCCTTAAGGTAATGCAGGATATATATATATATATATATATATATATATATATATCCTGCATATATATATATATATATATATATCATCAACCGTATGTAAACCCCAAAAAGTTAAAAGGTTACCTGCTCAGCTACTAAGGTCTTACAGGGCGTTGGGTGTATAGTGTTAGAGTTTTGGGTGTCGGTTCTAGGTTGGAGTTAGGGCGTATCATGATAGGCTTGTAATATCCTTTCATCAGGTAGTTCACGGTCTGTTGGGTTGCTTCTAGGAGTTCTCAAACTTTTCCAGGAATACACCTCAAACTGCATTGGGATCCTTTCAGCTTAAGGTAGGATAGACGATGTTTAAAACCTGGAGTGTCTGCATGATTCCTACCCATAGGCTCCATAATGGCTCCTTTTTGGGGGATCATATATGGAATCCTATAGGGTACTCAAGTTGATGATATAAATCCTGCACTACCTTAAGGACCCTACACTACGGGAATTATGGTATATTCCTTATTATGGGTAATGCAGGATTTATACTATCAACCGTCCCAGAAAAAGGAACTACTATGGAGCCTATCATAGGCTGCCATAGGCCCCATAACAGTTCCTTTTTGGGGTTATTTAGATTTAGAATCCTATAGGGTACTCCCAAACAGGAACTACTATGGAGCCTATGGGTAGTTCCGCAAACCCACGAGCTCTGCAACCAAGGCCGAAAAACCTCGCCAGAAGAGGCATGATGCCAAAACCACGAGAGCCCCAATTCCTAGACCTTAAGCGTTTTTTTATTGTAAGTGCAATGGGGCCTTAGGAATTGGGGCTCGTGTGGTTTAGGGTTTAGGGTTTTGGGTTTAGGGTAAGTTTCAAAATGCTTTAAAAGGCCCCTGAAATCGAATTCTTCATATTCTCGGTACGTGGACAGACCTGAGTAGTAGGGATTTCTAACAAAGAAAGCCTGCGTTTAAACCCGACAATATATATATATATATATATATATATATACAAATCCGTCAACATAAACTTCACTCCCTAAACCTACGGACCTACACCCAGATCATTCCTGCGTACTCTAAACCGTCAGCCCTGAATCCTAAATCCCTAAACCATAAACCACTAAACCCCTAAGGCCTCAAACATAAACCCTGATCTCCAAACGCCTAAAAGCTAAAACTCTGAACCCCAAAAACCCCTGAACCCTATACCCAAAACTCCAAAAGCCCTAAACTCTAAACCCCTAGAAGCCACCTCCAAGGGCTCGGTCATGGAGCTGACCATGGGAACCGGAACCTGGCAGGCTCGGGGCCTGTCTTGACATGTAGGGTTTGGGGCTTAGGGCTTTTGGAGTTTAGGGTTTAAGGCTTAGGGCCTTTCAAAGTTCAGGGTTTAGGGCTTTCAGAGTTTAGAGCTTAGCGCTTTTAGAGCTTAGGGCTTAGGGTTTGGGGGTTAGGGTTTAGGGCTTCTGGTTTAAGGGTTTACAGTTTATAGACCTTGTAGTTTAGGGTTTGAGGTTTAGGATTTACATGTAGCCGAAAAGACCTACTTGTTCGGAGTTCCTTACTGTGGTTTCTGTATGTAGTTCCTGAAAAGGCAGGTCTTTTAGGCCGCAGGCTTATGCTATAGGGTTTGTTCAGGTTAGTTTACTGTGCGGAACCCGAAACGTATTCTACTTCTTCAATCCTTGGGTCTTGTAGGGTATAACTTTAGGCTTGTTGTGGTTTGGGTGCTAGGGGGTGGTGCATGGTTAGAAAATGGAAATGGTAGTTGCTAACCAAGCGACCCAAGGACTCTCCCCAGGATATTCCGGACCCTCCTAAGGAGATACCTAGACCCTTAGGGTAAACCCTCAGCCGTGCCCTAATTAGTCCTAAACCCGACCTGTAACTCGACCTCAAAACTCAAACCCGGAAATCCGAAACTTTAAAGTTGAAACCAAACCCTAACTTCCGTCAACCCGAAACCCCCAAAACCCCCAAAGCTAACTCAGCCCTAAACCCTAAACCCTGAACTGCAAACCACACACCGTTTTAAGGACTTACAATATATGGAAATCATATTGGGGAAAGCTAAAGGTAGGTTTTTTGGGGTCCAGGTCAAACCCTAACTCAGCCCTAAACCCTAAACCCCCTCAACCCTGAACCCTAAACCCTAAATCCCAAGCCCTAAACCATGAACCCCAAACCCTAAACCGCCAAACCCTAACTCAGTGCTGGTGAGCAGCCTGACCCTCTGTGTTGGAGATCTGCTCCAACAGCGCCTCAACCTTCGGCTCAAAAGTTTAGGGGTTCAGGGTTTATAAGGCTTGTAGGGTTTTAGGGCTTCGTATATGGGTACTGGGGAAAGGGGCTTGGGGGTTGAGGGTTTAGAAGAAAGGAGGGTTTAGAAAATTTAGGGTTCAGGGTTTGTAGGGCTTGTAGGGGTTTAGGGCTTAGAGTTTGAGACGTTATAGGGTTTCGGGTTTAGGGTTTATGGGTAAGGGGTTTAGCGGCTGAGGGGTTTTAGGATTTAGGGCTTTTAGGGTGTAGGGCTTACTTCAAGGATCAGCTCAATTGGTAAGTAGATTAAAGGTAGACTTACAGGTGTCCCAGTTGAGGTTATCATGCATGGCTGTGCTTATACCCAATTTGTTGAGCTTCTTGATCCCCTCAGTATGGTATAGGCTCATAGCTTACAGCCGCTTCATGGCTCAATAAAGTTCTTACGATTGCTTGTAGGGGCCGAAAAAAGGTTTCTGATTCTATGAGAACCCCACAAAGGCTTAGGCCACATAAGCTCCCGAGTCTGCAGCCTCCTCAATCCGAAACCATAAACCCAAAAGCCAGAACCTAAAATCCGAAACTCCCGCTTCATCCATGCACAGGCCAACTTATTCGAAACCACAGCACGGAGACTGAAAGTCCCTCAATACACCTCAATACAGTCAAAGGGGAAAAGGAGGGACCCTTAATGGTGACCCCTACCCTATAATGAGCTATATAATGGGTATATAATGGCTATATGAAGGGTATATACCTAGGGGTCCTTATTAAGGGTCCCTCCTTTTCCTCTTTGATACAAGCTATGCAACAGAGAGATCCTGGATATGATGTCAGGTGCCGTGCCTACCACGGGTCCATGCGGGTTTCTGGAACCTACCAACACAACGACACCGTTAAACATTCTGAGCCCCAAAGCCGAAAGCCCAAAACCCACCAACAACGAAGCCCTGTAGACTGTGAACGCTCCTCAACTAACACCCCTAAATCCTAAACCCCTTAACCCTTGCGACCCTAAACAATTAAGGGAGTACTACTCCTTCTGCCACACAACAAACCCCTCGGCCGCCGACAGCTGCATAGCCGGCAGCGGCAAGAAACCCCCAAATACCTTGATTAAGGACTGAATATGTTGCTGTTGGTATGACGGATCCCGAAACCCTGAAAACATGAACCCCGAAAACCATTTATATGAAGGTGGATCCTCAAACCCCGAAGGCCCTTGCAAGCCCTATCACTAAGCCTCAGGTCCTTTCCAAGCCCTCTAATTGAAAGCCTCTCAAATTCCACAAGGGCATCAAGGGCTTCGGATGCTTGTTTAGGGTTCAAGGCCCGATCTAAACCCTTCCCAACCCTGTGACACATTCCAGAAAACCCAACAAAACCTTTCCGCCATTGCAGGACAATACAACTAGTTGTTGCAAGTGATACAAAAACTATGTAGCAGCTTGCAAAACACATAGCTCTCAATACAAGAAGCCCTATAGAACCTTCTTAACAGCCACTGGCCAAGAGCCTTTGGGGCTTTTGGGGCTTGTTGCGCCTGATTCAAGATGGCAGCCTCCACTGAACTTCCCGAGCCTGCCCAACAAAGATTCGAGGGCTTTGGAAGGCATTAGTACTTGAACCCATGGGTTAGGGCTTCGGGGTTTAGGGTTTTTATCAACTGGAGCAGGAGCCATAGGTTGAGAGGGCGTGGACAGGCTTTTTGTATGAGTTTGGTCAGGTTTTTATGGCTCAGGGGATGGAGAATGATGATGGAAATGCACAAAGTTGCACCACCCATCTTTAATTCGAACTGCGAAGGCTGAGTGGGACAAAGAAAGCCAAAGCCAAAACGATGTAATGTAGAGGTAGGAATAGTCATCTCAGGATTCACCAGGGATCCAATAAGTTCTTATGAGGTTCAAGATCTCCAGTTGTAGCAATGCTAGCGATAGTAATACCCTTTGCATCTTACAAAGGCCCGAATGTTTCTGAAAGGGACAAATTACTTACCGGCCAATGAAAATCCTGAACTCTTTGATGCCCATGCCGTAACCCTTCGACGTTTTCCCAGAGAGCCCCGAAACGTCACTGTAGCAGTCAGAGTTGAGGGGCCAATATCCTGTGCGTCAGAAATATACATGAAGTGATGTTGAGGAATTTCCCTTCTCTACGGATTCTCCTATCTGCGGAGAGGATCCCACTCAAGGGGAACCAAGGGGTCCGACTTTTTCGGCCTTTGGGGTCTCTTGTGCTAGGGAAAGCCATTCAGACCCACATATTGAATATTCTTGCACGGCCCCAGCCCCAAAACCCAAATCAATAAACCGCCAAGAACCCCTACTAAACCCCCTAAACCCCAAACCTTACACCCTAAACCCTAAACTTTTCCACCCTAAAACCCTAAACCCTAAGCATTACAGAGACCCCTGGATCGCTGTGCATGAAGCCTTGTGGAACCCCACGGAGCCCTAGAGGCTTCTCGGTTAGGCAGGCCTGGGCCATCAAGATAGACTCGAAGCACCTGGATAAACTCCACCGAAAGGATTGTGTACCATTATTCTGTTCTTGTGTTTAAGGAGACCTCTTCTTGTGCATCATGTTTTGTTCAGGGGGATATAAGGCTTGTACATGCTTGTACGAAAGTTTCAGCAAAGTCCAAATAAACCCTCCAACGCACTTACCGCACCCTTGATGCATGGCTTGGGCCCGAAATGAGCAATTCGCAAGCCCACGACCCTGAGCCGCAACTACTAGATTTGGCATGGGCCCCTCCACCTTGAACTTCAGGCTTGCTAGCTAAGAGCGTCAAAGGCTGCTTGATCGACTATCCCGACAAAGGCTCCATGTATTGCAAGAGTGCTTCTTTGTATGTCATTTTGGTCCCCCATACCCCTGGGCCTTGTTCTCCGGTGGTAGAGCACAGCCCCTCTCGGCACCGGGCTTGGCGTGGTGAGAAAATGGAAGGCCCATCACAACACGCAGTTTAGCATCATTTTTCTGAAGGCTTGAGGGGTTTACCAAAAACCTAAAGACTTACAGTGCAACAGTGATTTGGGTAGTGTGAGTATCTATTCGGCTTTTGTACGTAATACCTAAACATCCGAAATAACCATTGTAACCGTCTTTCGCCCGACAGTAAACGGCGTCTGGCAGCACTTGCGGACATTTAGCAAGTCGAGGTGGCCTTCAAGGGATCACGGTTGGTGCCGCTGTGTTCCACTTCCAGTCCCTGCGGAACCAATAGCAGTCGAAGTCTTGCAACTGGCAATAGTATCCCCAAAAACCCAACCCCCCTGTAAACCACCCCAAAAGTGTGACCTAAACCCTAGAACCCCTGAACCTGCTTTCGACCCAGAACCGTTAAGACTTACAGCATAGTGTGCAACTGGGGCTAAAGCCAAGCTGGCAACACGGGCTGTCAGAAGCTGTGCTGGACCTGCACGTTGGTGAAGCATTTTAAAGAAGCGTAGATGTTACAAAGACTCCAATGGAACCTGTCTTATAAGCTTGTAAGGGCGACACACGGATTTATGGGATGAGGCCATGTTCCAAAGAGTCCCTCTGCAGGAAGAATCGTTGGTATGGAACCCCCGTTCCTCACGTTAACGGACCGTTAACGAAGCCCTACTCCCTAAACTATTAGCCTTGAAACCTACCATCCTGAAGCCCTAAGCCTGTTGATGCCCCATTTCGGACCCACCTCGGCGGGTCGAGGGCACCAGGAAGCGATGAAGGGTTTAGGATCGATCGCGTCAGGTTTGACAGCTTCAAGTGCAGGACTTCGGAGTTTAAGGATTCTATCTACAGTGCCTACTTGGGCTTAACCCAGCATATACTTCAGATCCAACTACAATCACCAACTGAAGAAAACCTAAACACCGAAGCCTAAACCCCTGAACCTCTCAAACCCTAAAGCCCCAAAGCCCTAAAGCCATAAAGCCCTCAACCCTAAACCGTAAACCTTAAACCCCTAAACCCCTAAACCCCTAAACCCTAAACCCTAAACCCCCCAGACTCCTGGAAGCGAGCCCCCTGCGAACTTTAGAGTTTAGGGCTTCGGGTCAAGCGTCGTCTGGCCTTGCTGGCAATCCAGGGCCAAGGCCTGCAACGGACTTTTCGGAATTTGAGGTTTAGGGGCTTGGGGGTTTGGGGTTTGGGGGCTTGGGGTTTAATGTTTAGGGGTTCAGGATTTGGGGGTTTGGGGGTTTAGACGTGTTGGTGTTTCGGGTTTAGGGTTTAATGTGGAGGCTTTAATGAGAATCATGGGGCCCCTCGGCACTTCTGCTGCTGAGTCAAACGACTATAGAAGAGTCGACTGTTTAACATCGTAGGGTTTGCAGGGCGCGCAGCAGTGTACTTGAAGGACAATGGGACTTGCTAAGAAGGATATAAGTACTGTAATTCAGGTTATAAGCAATCATATTTGGTAACCTTGTTTGTAACATTTCATAACCCTATAGTTACTATAAGCTCCATGATCCCCAAGTAGGGTTCCAGGGCTTTAGCTCCCCATTCCGGATTTAGGATCTTACGGTTTCAGGTTTGGGGTTTTGGGGCTTCGGGCTTACTGTCTTGCTTTCAGCGTTCAGGATCTTGGCTTTGTGCCTCCGAAATCCTGGCTGTGAAGGCCACTCCAAAACTACGAAGACTCGTACAGGGAAGATCTCGGGTAGTCTCAGGTCAGGGATACATAGGAACCTGATGAAGAGACCTTGGGTTTTGAGGAGGGTTCTGAAGTTTCCCAGGCTACCAGCTTGACACGGCTAGTTACCGGTAAGTCAACCCTTGTGACCTTTTTCCACGGGGGACTTGGGCCAAGTGCAATCGCGTACAGACATAGCTAAGGACCATAGGAATAGCAATGGAGGCAGGGTAAAATCTACACCCCCCTCGCCGTGCTGCTCAAGCTAAGGCGGATAGTACATGGCTCCAGGTTGCCCTGGGCTTCAACGGTTTTGAAGACTTGCCAAAGCGAGCATTTATAAAGCACAACGGGGAAGCCCTGCAGGTCCGAAGCAAATCAAAATGAGGACTCAGCGCCTATGGGTGCGGTTCCATGCATCCCACTCGGCCTGAGTGTAACCTCCACGACGCTGGCGATAGTACTCGTCCCACTGGGCCTGAGTATAGCCTCTGTACATTGGCTCAGGTGCTGTCGTGCGACCACGTCCCTTTTGGGATGGGCGGTTCTGGACTGCGGCCTGGCGATTGCGCTCTGCCAAACGTTCCGTTTGGTCTGTCTGGTTCTGAGCACTACGGAGGCTATCGGTAAGAATCTGCCCGATTTCAGTTGTGATGCCTTCAATTGTGGTAGCCGACACATAGACCTCGCCGTCGAAAGTCAGGATCCTTTTCGCAGCATCATTCACTGCTGCCACCTCAGCATAAAGTCGCGGAGGGAGGAATGCACCGAGGTAGGTCAAGCCGATGGGGACATCCGCGGTATCGTCGATAAACCGCAAGTTCCTCAACGGCTCCACTTCGCAGTGGGCATAATAGACCAACTTCGCTGGCGGGACATTGCCACCACCATAATGGGAGCCGGCGCGCAAGTAGCGCTGCTCCTCGCTGCGTCCTGGATCGGGAAGCACAGCATTCGACAGGTGATCGAATTTCTGCATGTCCCTCGAAGTTGCGGCCCTCTTGCATCATCCTCACATTGAACTGTGCGTCCTTCTCGAAGCGGTCGGACACGGTGTCAAAGTTCAACTTGGCGGCCCTGATCTTTCGGTCTTTGGCGTCACGAATGGCGGCAGCCTCTGCGCTCATCTGACCACGTTTCTTTGGTCCCTCGCCCAGGCCTCGAAGGTCACTCGCAAGGAGATCATCGATGGGCTTCTGGGCTCCGGTCGCAGCGGTGGCAAGAAGGCGCTGGCGAAGTCTCGAATTCTCAAAGACTCGCTTTGTGATCTTCTTAGAATCATCCGTCTGGGGAGCCTTGCAACGGAGGCAGAACAGCATGCCATTGGCAACAACTGCTGCGCACTCGCGGCATGGGTGTGAGCCAAGTGGGTAAGGCTCATCCTCACCCGCATCCGTTGTATCGCCTTCATCGACTTCAACCTCAACCTCAACCTTGGTTTCGTCAAGGTCGAATGCACCAGCAGCATCAGCAGGCTCACCCTCGCGGGTGGCTTCATCCAAGTCCATGCTTTCGTCTTTCTCGGCGATTGCGGCGGGCTTGGGAACCACCTTCGGCATCTTCTTTGAAGCAATCGCTTTGGGAGCGATAGCCGCCTGTTTTGGGGGCGGTGCCGATGATGAGCTTGCTGCTGCGGCCTCCTCATAGTCGCGCTTGGCGCGGAAAATGCGCTCTGGCTCACCCTCGCGGGCGGCTTCTTTGTGCTCGGCGACATAGAGCGGGAGGTTCTTGTTGCTGGTGTCGATGGCGGACAGCACGCAATCGGGAGGCACATTGTCCCGTGTGAGGACGCCGTCGGTCTCCGTGACGAAGAAAACGCATCCAGCGGCGATTGCTCGCTGCGTGTCTATCGTCAGCTCGATCGGCTGGTTGGAGCGCATTCCACTCTTGTAGTGGGTGTCGTCCAACTTGTACGGGGACAGGTAGTTGTGGGACCTGTCTGACCTTGCGGAGCCGGCGATCATGCCATCGCGGAGGATCCCCTTCATTCCCTTTTCATTCGTGCGGTGGAAGAGCTTCGGGGGGGTATCCTCGCGGGAGAGCACAGTGACCCCCCTGACGCTGCTCTGCAGGTCGGCCTCGTACTCGGACAATCCGCTGTAGAACCTGGTCGCGAGGAAGAAGTCCGCGTCCGGGTTATTGCCGATGAGCTTGGAGTTGTGCCCTTGGGCCATCCTCACCCGGACAGGGAATAGCGGCTGACCCAGGGTGTCCTTCATGGGGACATCAATGCCCAAAAGTCTAATCCGTCCCTTGTTATCGGCTTTCGCTGCGCGTAGCAGCTGCCTCACACCCCAGCGTGCGTTCCGTGCCGTGTTGAAGACCTGGAGCAGAGTGTCAACGTCTGCCCAGCACCCACGGTCAAAGATCAATGCAGGGAAGTCGTCCATTTCATGGCCACGCAGCAGCTTGGTGAGGAACTTCAGGTCACCGTGTTTGAACGTCACGTGCCTGTCTCCCACAATATCCTCCGGGTTGAAGGGCTTCATCAAGTGCTTCTTGCCGTTGTAGAAGTACTCATTCGGAAGCTCTGGCACAGTGGCAGCCCCTTGCGGGGCGCTTTCATCAATGAACATGAGCCTTCGCATGGCGTCCTCGTCTCGGTCAGACTTCTTAGTCTTCTTGGGAGGCGCTGGCTCAACAACACGTCCAATCGATGATGGGATGGGGTCGACTTGGTCGCCCTCATCCACCAGTTCCACCGTGCCCGGGGTATTGTAGGACACCTTACCGTCTGCGTCCTGGGTGACAATGTCATTGACGCACTCCGCAACAGCACTGACATCAGTGGTTGCACCGATCCTTGGCACATCCTTGCGGATGGCTTTATCCATGGGTGGCCCCTCGGAGATCTTAGTGACGTCGGTTGCGTCAGCGGCATCTGGGGCTTCCCACATCTTGTCCTCCTGGGTGACCGGCATTGGCTTTGCCTGTTTCGGGTTCATGAGCTGGTCCTTCTCTGCACGCCACTGCTTGAAGACATCCTGGAGCACTGGATTGTTGGCACCGGAGCCAGTCTCAAAGTGCTCATAGCGAACAAGCAAAGCCCTGACACAGGGTGTCATCTTCTGGGCAAGCCATTCGCTCCTGCTTGCATTGAAAGTCGCATGCAAGTAGGTCTGGAATAACTCGCGGTTGCGAGGGTCTTCACTGGCGTGAAAGCTGTCATACATTTCCAGCTTTTCGACCAAGGAGCTCGCGGTTTGCACTTGCAGACCGCGCTGCCTGAACTCTTCGAACATAGCGGCATTGAAGTCGTTGTAGGCTGAGTGGAGTTGGAACAAGTCCGCCTCCACCTGCCCAATCACCTTCACAAAACCAATGTCCGGCTCGCCCGCGAGGGCGGCTAAAACATCCGCTGCCCTTCTCACTTTCCGTGCGACGGTCTCCGTTGTGACATTGGGATCTCTGTAGGCGAGTCCCGGTCCTAGCCGCGTGGGGATGCAGCCCCACTGGCCGGAGATCTCGTTCCCGCACCACCAGCAGATCACGTCGATGGTGTGGTCCGGATAGTTGCTCCGGAGCTCCTTCACATGCTCCTCGACCTGCCAGACAATCCACGCCAAGGTTTTACCCCAACACATGGTGTAGCGAGTCTGTGCCCATCCCAGCGTCCAGCTTGCGATGTTCACTTCCGCATCCAAGTCGGCCTTGACGAACACTCCCCGCCTGTTCTTCTTGCAAAGTGCAGTGGAGCTGTCTGACACGACTATGATGGCTCGCTTGGCCTTGGGGCTCAACCTTGCGGTTGGCTTCAACTTGGCGAGTCCCTCGTCACTGAGGTCAGCCATCTGGCGCAGAGCCACACAGGTTGCGTCGGCATGGGTCAAGGATACCCCAGCCGTGCATTGTGTGGATACGCAGCTGTACGCCGACTCCAAGAGCTGGCTCTCATGATCGGCGCCGAGCGAAATGATATCGTTGTTGAGGGCGGCGGATTGGAGAATGGTTTTCATGGCCTTGGTAACTCCAGCCCTGTCTGCTTCGGAGGTGTTGACCCTGCAGAACTCGTCGCTCACAACGATGGCTGCCATCTTGGGGATCGTAGAAGTCGCTTCGGGCAAGTCGAGAAGATCAGAACCAGCTGAAATTGCAATGGCAGGCGTGCACATAAAGGAAGCCAAGATTTCATGGTCAAGGCTTGCAGTTTGTTGTGTGTTTGTGCACTCGAGCGATGTGTGTGCAAACGAATCATTTTCGAAACGAGAACACGGTTTGTTAAGCCTACCCCCCTCATCGAGAGGGGAACCAACACACCTCAAACAAACCATTGCCTTCTGAGCTGGGAGCTTCAACTGAGCCGTAGGCAAGAGGAACTGTGATTGATGTAGGAATTGCTTTTGCTTTTTGTTGAACTTCTGGTACCCCCCTGAAGAGTAGGCGATGAAGGAATGTCGTTCGCCAGTGTAGGGTTGTACACCATGTTTTGTCGATGGATGCAACAGAGTAGGCTTGCGGTATGTGTTGCAATTGTAGCCTTTGTGGTCTTTGCCATGATCATCTGTGTATATTCCCGGTGGTCCCAACTGGCTCGCGCCCTCAATCCACAGTGTCCCCCCTGTATAGTTACCGAAGGAGAACGTCAGGTTGTACGATTCTTTCTGATTGTACTTATCCGTGTGGATGCGGGCCTTGCCATTGAAGTTGAACACGAACGAAGTCCATGTAAACCCTTTCGGAGATGATCGCTTAACAAATTCATTCACATACCTGCAAATCCATGGGTAATGCTTTGTGCGGTTGGTAATACCAAAGCACCCACCATGGACCCAAGCGCCGAATACCAAGTATTTGGATATGTTCTCAGAAGCCATAAACGATCGCGGTTTTGCCAATGATGCCTTGAGATTGGTACGAATAAGCCCAGCTAGCTTCTCGAAGGTCTTGAAGCTGTAATCGTTAGTCTCGAACGATTGTTTAGCGAAGTCCTCGACAACCTTTGATGCATCCGGAGCTGCTGCTACCGAAACCTTGTTGTCGACCTCGACCTTCGACTCGGGTTTGCACCCGGCTACGTTCGCGCTGGTTGTATGTCCAATAAGCTTCAAGGCATGCGTCCACTTGTTCTTTTCAGTGAAAGGCTTCGTGAACACATCCGCCACTTGTTCGGCTGTACCAACATTCAGTAGCTTGAAATGCCCAACCTCATATTGCTGCTTTAGCCATGAGAAGCTCACCCTCTGTGTCCGATCAGTATGTCGTAGAACACCAGCTTGCCCTAGCAACAAAAGAGTGATTGTCGCCTGGTTATCCTCCATATGTCTAACCTCGAAACTTTCAGGAAGTTGGACACAGAGGCCGTTGATGTCTGCGATTGACAACCCATCCGGTCTAGTGGATCCATAACGAATTTCGTCAAGCTCAGGATCAATGCGTGCAACTATCGAATCCACCCTCTCAGCCCTTGGCTCGGCCTTGCGGCCGGCATCTCCACGCCATAGGAAATACCACAAGCTCAGGCAAGGTAGACCTTCGGCACGTAAACCGTGGTTCGCTGCTACAACTTCGGACTCAGTAGAGCTCATTGTGATAGATGTTTGTTTCTTGCTGAAGGCATTGAGGGGAAAGTACGTGTTTGGTCCGACCAAAAACATCGCACATCCTGTAGTCGATTTTGAATCGAATTCACCCGCAAAGTCGGAATCGCTGAACAACCACAGTCTGCAATCCATTATGCTGTCGCCTATGAAACCGCTCATAGTGACATCAAGCGAAGAGTTTATGTAGCAAACCAACCTGTGAAGTCCCAAGTCGCAATCTGGACTCCACTTGGTCACCCTCGACGCCAAAGACTGTGTTGCCCTTAGAAGATCCCATCTGGCCATGCGAGCAGCGAACAAAATCTTCATTAGTACCTTACTAGCAATAGGTTGCAAGCGCCCTGCCTTCTCTCCTTCGGAAGCTGTTGGCAAAGCCACACGTAGCTCATGGAAGGGGGTTGCAGCTGGTTTCAGGGTCTTACGCTCTACCTTAGCAAGCTCGCAGTACCGATCAACGCAAGAGTCGAGAAAGTCCTTCATATCGTACGTGATGCGAGTGACTGGCTTGGTCATTGCACCGGGCTTCTCTTTAACGTCTTGCGACAAGGTAACAAACTTGCTCTGCTTCGCCTCCTTTTTAGCCTCAGACTTGTTACGAACCGGCTTGCCCTTGCGGGCAGCTGCAACTGCCAGCTCGAAATCAGACTGTTCCCGGCCTGCGAGGTCGAAGTAGGTTTCGCCGTCCCACCAATCCTGAAGACAGCGATCGCGCATTTGATTGCAACTGTCAACAACAACTTCCTCCGACTCACCCTTGCGGGTGGCTTTAGCCACCACAGTGTATCTCCGAGGGCCAATCCCCGGGAACATTCTAGCATCATCCTCGTTGGGGACATAAAGTCTTTTGCGATGATAACGGTGATGTCGGATTGCTATGAGATTCTCAGGGTCAATGTCCCAATAATCTTCTTTTCTAGCAGGAGTTGCAGCTGATGATTCGGGCTCAAACACGTGACGAAAAGGGTGTGCTTCCTTGGGCAGCTTGAGGTTGTGTTCTTCCTTGTGCATGCACCCAAAGTATCTACCAATGACTTCCGGAAGATCCATATCAATGACGCTCGAGATCAAGTCCCATCCCTCCTTGATAGAGTTCTTAGGGCCAGCGAGTTTAAAGTCATCGACGTATACCACTAAAAGCAGCTTCTTCTTCGGGTGGTAGAATACACTCTTCCAAATGTCAGTCAATACTGCCTCGAACCCGACTTTCTTCAACTCAGCTTCGCAGTGATGTTCCCAAATCCCCCCTGAATCGGGGTGTCCGTAAAGTGCCAATTTGAGTGGAACGACAGGATCTTTCATGCCCTGCCATGCCTTAGGCCAGCGATTGCGAGGCAACCGTACCCAAGTGGCAACCCCTTGGAACAAGGCTTGGGTGTATGCTTGCTTGGCGTCGGCCTGCTGGATGACGTAGCCAGGTTGTGAGCCGAAGACGTCAAGAATCTTTCCTGCTTCCATAGATGCAGGACTGCTCGACATCTCCGCGAAGAGCGCGTGATCGGCGTTTTCGTCAAGTACTTTGTTTCCCTGAAATACCGAACGTCCCTTATACTTACGATTAGGGTCGCCTTCTTTCAGCTCGGCTCCCTTTAGGGTACCAATCTCAAAAACATTGCCAAAGTGAACCTTGATTTGAGATTTCTTAGCTTCGTTGGCAACCGACTCGAACTCCCTGACTTTGCCTTGTACCCAGCAGCCCTTGTCAACCAATTTCTGCCATTCTTTGTCCATGGCAGCCTGCGCCTTAGGGTTTGTTGAAATCTCCTTAGACGACAGGACCTTGGCGACAACAGCATACATCTCATCTGCGATCTGAAAAAGCTTCTTGTCATATAGCCCTTTGAGTCGTTCCCGATGTTCCTCGCTACACCCATGTAGGACTGGCATTGCAGGTACCACCTTTACAGCTTCCCGATACAGTGCCTCATTCTCCTCATGTAGCTTCTTCTCATGTTCTGCAATTGCTGTTGCTCTTTGTCTTTTCGACATAGCCTTCCATGCAGTATGATCAATAGCGTCAGGGCGGTTCTTGTTGTTCTTCTTGACCAAACATTCCCCACTCCACGTATAACCATACGGTGGTTCTTGCGCTGCTACTGCTGCGCTGGACTTCAGCTTCTGCTTCACAGAGAACGGAACATCATCAAGCAATGCTGCACGGGAATCAGACTTTGACTCACCCTTGCGGGTGGCTTCTTTCGCGTCCTTCGGCGGAGGATCTTTATCACGATCAGGACCAAATAGCTCTGGGAACATTTCATCCAGGTCTTCGCTAAGTTGTTCCTGAATTGTGGCTTCATCGTATCCCCCCCCTTCCTCCAGAGGAGGATGCGGGTTTTGCTCGTCAAGGACATTGTGATGTTGTGCATCAAGGCTTGGTGGTTTATCCAAGGCAGGCTCTTGCAACAACGGAAACTTAAAGTCACCATCTGGTAGCTCCAGTCTCTTAGTGCGAAACACACGTAGATCTTCGTTTTCCAACGCGGCTTCGATGTTGTGTAGGGGAGCAACGACGTACTCAAGCTTGAAGATAAAACCAGGTTGGATGTGATACCCGAGGAATATACCTTCAATCCCTGTGCCAGAAAACTTGGATCGTTCAGGCTTGCGTTGCTTCTTCGGGGCCCAGTAGAGGACTTTCGCTCCAAAGGGAATGCGCATGCCGTTGAACTTTTCACCGTACCTGATTTCCCACGGAATCTGACCATTGTCAATCCTCGCAGTGATGTTAAGACATATAGCATGATGTTGCGATGCAAGAGGCCAATAGCGATCTGGAAGTCCTGATTGCACTAAATTGGCCCGTGTGCCTTCCAAAATGGTTCTGATTTCTCGCTCGATTACGGCCTTGTTTTCGTTCACATACTCTCTAGAAGTGTTGTGACGAGCGCGAAGCTGTCTGGCCGCAAAGTCAAACTCCAACGCATTGTCGGAATATATAACCTTTACCTCATCATCTGTACCAAGGAAGTGCAACATGTCTTCGTAGCACTGCTCACCAGACTTTGTCTTGGAAGGGTACACGTATCTAAACTTAGAATACACGTCCTTCACAACATGAGCCACGGTTTCATCTTGGAACCCGTAATCCTTGGCATCAGCGGTCACGATGTGATCTACTGTGATGTGGTCACCGAACGATTTACTGTAGATTGTAGAGGATCCACCAGATTTACGCGCCTGGGGCGCATACATCTTGGCCCTTTGGCAAATTGGGCAGAACGGATTCTTTGGTCTATGGGTAAGTCGATGTTCCAAAGACACAGCCTCAGCCCTCAAGGAAGCTTCGTCCTTCTTAGACTTTGGCATTGTGTATGGCTCGACATCGCTGTCGGCTTGCGCCTCAACTTCCCCTTCAGGCAAAGCAAACAATGTGATAGTCGCAATAGTCCCTTCAGGTACTTCCCCATAGATTCCGTCCAATTCATCAATGTTGACTGAATCCTCCAACAAAGACCACACGTCATCCTTGAATCCCCAAGTAGTCCGGATTCTATACCTTGGGAACTTAGGAGCCGGTGTTCGAAGCGTCTTTGGGAAATGTGCCACCTTAGCAGCGGGGCTGCCGTTGATGACAGTCCAACCTGCCTTTAGCAGTTGCCTCGTTTCCACCCCAGGAATGGGAGGAATGCAATTCGCCATCTTTTCGATGGGATCTTCTGCCGCGCCAGCTGGACCTTCAGGTTCATGTTCGTGCTCTCCCCTAGCTGGTGCGGCGTGCCCTTGCGGGCAGCTGTTTACCGAAAACCCGAACCAGACTTGACAGAGGTCGGTGCAACCTTGCTGCCATCAGATTCTGAGGACTTTGCCGCTAAGCATGCCATCAATGGTCCTCGGTCGCCAAATACGGGGACATTGCCTCGGAGTTGGCAAATCATCTTCTGACCGTCTGGGCAAATGAAATATGGCGCCTCACCCGCTGGCCAGTGGAAAGAGAACCCCTGTTCCATGCACTTCTTTCCTACAGAGCAAACTGCAGGTGTGTTGGGGAGCTCAACGAACTGCAATGGGTTCCTCAATGACTCAATGTAGACCTCATGCTTGGTATCAGCGTCTACTGGTCCGTTAGCAGTGATCAAACTCACTGGGTCGGAAGCAACCTTCTTAGCCTTGCCCTTGAAATGGGCCTCCAAATCAGAGTGACTAATCAGATCTTCCTCGCTACCGGTGTCTGCGATGATTTCGAGGTTTTCACCTGTCACCGCCGCTGCAGCAAGTTGGGGCAGGGGAATTGCTTCTTTGCAGTGAGTGCAGAATCCTTCTCTACCCCGACACCTGTAGTTACACTTGACCCGAACCTTAAGCTTCATCCCGTTCACTGCTGATTCCAAGTGACGGGCATTTTGCAAAGCTTCTTCGGTGTCCTCTGGAATTGATGGTGGGCATAGCTCCGCAGACTTGTACCTGAATTCGAACTTGTGCTTGTCTGGTACGAAGCTCCAGCCTTCACCTTCAGGCGGAATGTCAATGATTTCTGGCCTTAGGAACTGGACCTTTCTGCTTCGGGGCTTTCCGGCAGGGCCCTTGCGGGCTGCTACTGCGTAGGCTTTCCCAGCATCGGCCGGTGACTCACCCGTGAGGGTGGCTGTGAGAGAAAGACAGCAAGCGGCTGGCTTGTCCTCACTCTTTGGCCTTTTCTTACTGGGTCGCCTGCGCTTGCCGGAGGGCGATCTCTTCCCGTCCTTGCCAGCCTTATCGCCTTTGGCCGGGACTGAGGGAGCGGCATCCTTGTGCATGAATGGGCAATTCTTACCGTTCTTGCAGGTGCCTTTGGGGAAAAAGATGCAAGGAATCTTGGAGGTGTCCTTCTTCTCCCCACCTTTACCGCCTTTACCTCCACCTTTTCTAGAAGGGGTACGTGGAGGTGTTCTGCCCCTTGTCTGTTCAGGAGTAGGCTTCACGTGCTTGTATGGGCACTTATCACCTCGTGGGCACTTCCCACGCTGGAAAGCGTAGCAGGGCTTGTCCTGGCTTCGGCCGCGAGGGGTGTTCGGGGTATCGGAAGGAGCAGGGGCACCAAATCTGGCACCGTGAGCTTTGGCGATTGCTGTGCGGTTTTTGCGAGTCCTATCTCTTGCCAACAGCTCTTTCACGCATTTGACCAAGTAGTCATAAGTGCGTTGCTCTGTTCCTTCCTTAGCCCTGTCGTAAACTTCCAGATCAAACTTGAGCTTGCTAGCATTGCGAAGCTGCCGAAGTAGAATATCTCTCAGTGTAGTCTCCTCGGGTTGGTGGTTCAACCCCGCGATGACCGACTCCCAGTTGTGAATGAAAGTGCTAAGATCATCACCATTCAACTGCACCTTAAGTAGATCTTCTACAGAGTAGAGGGAGCCTGCTTCCTCGTTGGTCTTAAAGTAGTGTTCGAACATCAGTAGAACCTGTCTACCACGAACGGCCCTACCAGCAGCTGCCTCAGACTCCTTGTAGTTAATGATCTGTCGTCCAAGATCACCCCTAGCGACCCTCGAAAGCGCCGAAAGGATCTTCGTATCCAAAGTGAGGAATTTACCCGTGTCCCTCAACTTCTCCGGATCGGCGTCCCTGGAGTAAACCTCTTGAACCCATTTGAATGCCTCATCGGGTCTGTCCGATGCTGCCCGAACGGCCTCCCTAACTGTGATCTTCCAGCTCCTGTAAGTCTCCGGGTTAGGGAAGTCGGGTAGCTTCACCGTTTCGGCTTCCTTAGCCTTGGGTTTGTCATCGTCAGGCTTCTGGATAACCGACTTGAGTGCTTCAGCGAGAAGTACGCTAGGCTCTTTGTTTTCAGTAGATTCTGCCGGTTCTTTGTTATCACTCTGTTCAGCAGCAGATACCGCTACATTGTGGGCCTTGGAATCCTCAGGCTCACCAATGTCATACCGTTGGGTCCTTCCCAAAACCGTCCGAAGCGACACAGGAATCTCCCTGGGGTTCGGAAGGGTCGGAATCCATGAATGACTAGGACCCTGAACAAGCGGCGCTGCGGCACCACCTTGCGGTGGGCTTGGTTGAAGCTTGGAGCTCTCACTGGGATCGACTTTCACCGGCACGGCACCACCTTGCGGTGGGCTACTCTCCGCTGTCGACAAGACAGTCCTGAGTGAGTCGACCTCAGCTATAAGCTCCGCGTTCCTGTCCTGCAGGTCATCAACCAAGCTATCGTACTGCTGTGCCTCAGAGGTTAGCCTATGGTAGTACTCATTCTCTTCCCATTGAAGCTTTTCCTCAAACTCAGACCCTAAAAAGGCAATCATCTCACTGTGGTTTTCTTCGATACTCGAGCGCAATTCCGCGAAACGGCGTTCATGCTGTCTGTTTTCCGCAGTGAGCGTGCGCGCTGCTGCTTCCAGCTCGGATCGATGTGCATCAAACTGCATGGCCATAGACCTTTCATCATGACTTTCCCTTTGTGCGCGTGCCAGCTGTGCCTGCAGCTCATTGGCTGATTGTCGTTCTGCTCGGGCGATTGTCTCTAGCACTCGTACTTCATTGTGTAGCTGTCCCACCAACAGGTGTGTGGATTGGCTCACAAATGCTAGCTGTTGACGATGATTCGCATCCGCTGTTGCCTCTAGGTGTGCAATGTATGCGTTGGCTTCGGCGTACACGTTGTCCAATGCAAATCGATGTCTTTGTTCCGCGCGAAGCTCCAAGGCACTTTGAATGCGGGGGTCATTCAGGAACAAGTTCACCTGAGTATTCTCCTGCAACAAATGCAAGAAGTACTGGTTCGCTTCCTGCTCCTGTCTACCACCAATACCACCGTCACCGTTGTTGCCCGCGGCCGTTGTGAACGGCACGATGTCCATTACGGAGCTAACTACGGCTGATAACCTGAAGTTTCCCAGGCTACCAGCTTGACACGGCTAGTTACCGGTAAGTCAACCCTTGTGACCTTTTTCCACGGGGGACTTGGGCCAAGTGCAATCGCGTACAGACATAGCTAAGGACCATAGGAATAGCAATGGAGGCAGGGTAAAATCTACAGGTTCTGGGTCAGGGTTTGTCCATCAGGTTCCTACATTATTACTTAGATGCGGATCAGGGGGCTTGTAAGTAGGCTAGATGTAGGGATTCCAGTCGGATAATCCCTAGCAGAGTGCTTAGAATCAACTTTAGAAAGCTGCTTACCGCCCACTTAACGAAGCCACACGACTGTAGTAAAAAAACGACTATGAGTATAGTTAACTACTTGACTTAGAATCCTGGTTACTAAGTGCCATGATCGCTCAAGTAGTTATAACCCTCATCCCTAGCAACTTCAGCGCTGGGAATCCGGACAGGAAGTCCCGAAAGCAGACTGCCGAGCACGCCCTGCGCTTAGCAAACTCACGGTGAGGTGGCTTGGGGTTAGGGTTTATGGCATATGGTTGGGGGCTTTGGGGTTTAGGGGTTCAGGGTTTGGGACATAGCGTCGAGACTTTAGGGTTTGGACGGGTTTGGGCTCCAGAGTTTTAGGGTTCCGGTGTCAGGCTTCGAAGTCTACAGAGGGTTTGAGGTTTTCATGTAGCATCTGATATTTTCTGGCTTGCGGTTTAGGCGTGGACCCTCTATCCAACAAAATCAGTGCACAAACACACAGCTAGGGTTTGGCACACACAACCTCGGTTTGTGTGCCAGTTCTAAGGGTTTTACGGGGCGTATAGGTTTTCACAACATGCACAGGTGCCCACCTTCAGGATGGGTAATATCGACAAACGGTTAGGGGTTTACGTTTGAGCTTCTTGGGTCCGACACGTCACAATGCTGTACTGGCCCAAGAGCCCCTGGCTGAACTTGTGCACGGCAGACACAAGACATAACTTATGACGATTACCTTCAACTCAAGCCTCATCGCTACCTCACCTATTTGTTTGTAAGGGCTTAACCACGGTTTAGGGTTTAGGGTTTAGGTTTAGAAGAGCAGGTTTCGGTAGTTTAGCTGAATCCTAACTGGAGCATTCCAACCCGTAAACATACACCCGAAAATCCTTTCCCACGAAAGCCCATACGCCTATAAAGTCCCCCTAAAACCTGAACCCGAAGACCCAAAGATTCTTGTTCACCCCGTGTAACCTCCATATCCACCTTCGGCAAGGGTAGACCTTTGCTCAATCCAGTCGGCTTTTAAGTAAGGAAGCAGCGTCTCAGAGCATGTTTACGTGGCTTCATGGGGTTTGAGACGGTCTGTCATTGAACGGTTTTCGGAGTTTTGACCCGGGTTTAGCGTCTAGGACTTCGAGTTTAGGGTGTAGTGGGGTAGAGTTATGTAGGCATGCATAGAGGGTCGTGCTATTGGTTTAATCTAATGCAAAACCTACTGAGTTCAAGACTGTCCTGAAGGTTCACGGAACCTATCGTGGGGTTCGGGGTTTGGGGGTTTAATAGCTTAGGGTTCAGGATTGTGGAGCTTTGGGGTTTGGGGTTCCAAGGTAGGGAGGCTTGGAAGAAAATCACCAAGGATCTAAGACCCTAGCCTAAATTTCGCTGGGAACCCCGGCAAGAAACTTCGGAAGGTTATGTTACTACAAGGGTCCTGCTAGCGCCGGGACTCGCTGAGGCTTTCCCTGAAATCCGAAAGAGGTGCCTGGGCTCTCCTTAGCCGATTCCATCCCAAAAAAGGCTCATGTCGCATAATGAACTCAATCAAGCTGCCCGAAACACTAAAACCCTCTATATATAAACCCTAACACATCCCTCTCCAACCGTATCAACAACCCTGCAGGTTATTTGAAACAACAAGGTCGAAACATTCCAAGAAGCCCTAAACTATCCCGAACCCTCAACCCCCTGAGGCTAAAGCAAAGGAAGCTGAGACCAAGCGGCCGCGACACCTGACGGGCTGAACGCTGTGAGATTTCTCTAGCCCGCGCACGAGAGCTATATAGGTTCAGGAGGGAACAGGATTTACAGGGTACAATGATGGGGTTATAGGGTAGGGAGTTGAACATTTAGGGCTGAGGGAGTACGTTGAGATTTGGGCTGGGTTTAAGGTTTAAATAGGGAGCTGTTCGAACAGACGAGCGCTACAAGGGTTCTACGAGCTTATTGGGGCCTTAAGGTCAAGGGGTTTGGGCACAAGATTCGGAAGTCCGCGTGACGGAGCGGCGAGGTGGTGACACCGAACTGCTTATAACCCCGGCCAAACAGCACAGCTCCCTGCTGTGCGGGCGTCTTGTTCATGGCCCTATTCCGCTGCGAATTGGGTGGGAGCAACGGTGGTCGCATTGAGCGCCTCTTTCATGGGGCCCCAAATCCGAAACATGCCCACCCAAAATGTCTTTCAAAGCTTTCTTTGACGAGGCTTTTGGGGCCTTGGTCTTCGCACGTTCCTTATCCGCCGGGTGGGTTCCAGGGTTTAGGCTTTCAGGGATTTCTGGTTTAGGGCGTGGGGCTTGGCACATTTACGATTCCTGAGCAGGGTGCTTTAATGGAGAAGGCAACACGGATCCTCGGGGAATGTTGACGGGAGACTCGGAGATTACCTGGTCATAGACGTTTCTTTGCGCGCCCTTCCCGCGAGGATTCCAATCAGCTTACTTTACTTTTAAGTAGGATAACCCCGGTGGTGCTTGGAAGCACTTATGCCCTACTTACAAAGCCCCCCTGATCCTCCCAGCCAGGTTCAGTTTGTTGGGGAGTTCGGACCTGAGGATTTGGTTCAGGGTTTGGGGTGTTTGCTCTTGTCTTTGGCGACTGCAATGCCCAAACTGCTTCTACTTGCAGGGTCGGGGGACTTAGTAAGTAGGTAATCAGTAGAGTAATAAGTACCTAAGTACCCCAAAGGGGGCCTTAAATGGGGTTATGGTACTTGTAACTCTATAAAATATCTACTTAGTACGTCCCCCGACCCTCCAAGTAGATTGCGCACCGCGGGTTCAAGGTCTCCCCCACACATCTCAGCAGAAGAACCCCGAACGAACCCTCAGCAGGGCCTCCGTAGTGCAAGCTGCAACAACCTTTCACCGATAAACCGTAGGGTTTGGGGTTTAGGGTTTAGGGTTTAGGGTTTAGGGTGGGGATATGGCTTGGGATCTGTTGGGCATTGGGTTTCTTACGCCTGCAAGGCTTTCTCAGAAGCGAGGAAACGTTCAGAACCCGGCACACATCATGGTACACATCTTGCTTACTGTGAGGATCGGGAGATTTAGTGAGCAGGGTACAAGATGTTTTCGATTGTTTTCGGGTTTGGTTCTTTTACCGGATAAGGCGGTTTGCTAAGCAAGCAAGGTTACCCCGATTGGGCTGCATGCTTTAAGGTTTAGGGTTTGAGTTAAGGCTTGAACCCTACATTCAACCCTAAATCCCTGCACTCTGAGCCTTTGCTGTCTCCAAGCCCGGGGTCCAAGCACCTAGAGATCTAAAGCCGAAGCTGTTCTAGGATACCCAGTAACCTAAGAATAAAAAGGCCTCTCTTTTTGGTATTGGGTAACTTTATAAGGAACCTAGGACTACAAAAAGGGAATAAAGGTACTACTGGGCATCCTAGTGTTTATAGCAAAGTTCCAAAATCGAAGCTCATCTTCGAGTGCCAGGTCTCCTCAAGCATTAAGCGTTTTCCGGCTTGCTGTTCCGAGTTCCAGTCCGTGCCCCCAAGGCCCTGTAAGCGTAAAACGTATTACCACTGAAGCCTTTAAAAATCCTGAACTCCTAAACCGCAAAAGCTCCAAATTCCAGCCCTCAAGCCCTACTAGACCCTAAAACATAAACCCTAAGACACCAACCTATCAAACTCCATCCAACCCCAAAGCCTAAAGCAAGCGCCAAGGCTGGGGCTTCTCGAAGCAAAAGCGATAGCTCATCGAGTACCGCCCGACCTCAGCATGAGAATGTAGGATTCTAGGGGCTTTAAGAATTCGACTAGGGTTTCGGGGCCATTTTTCTTTGTTTATGATAAGGAACCACCAAAATAGTAGAGGTAGCTATCAAGGCCCCAAAATTAGCCTTAAAACCACTAGTGGGATAGGGCGTATTGTCCTATAGTTTTGAACTATAGGGGCTACAATAAAGGGATGCAGGTGCCTGCAACCCGTTTAGGAATTGACCCCATGGTTACGAGGTATAGCTTGTGTGCGGCCCCGCCTCACTAATAGTGGGCAGAAACAGAAGCACAAGATGAAACACCACGGAAATGCTGAAATGTTGACTCGTTTGTGATCATGCTCGCATGAATGGAAAACGCAAGACTGAGACAACAAGTAAACTGCCACCCCATGAGTTGCAAACACAGTCACACCCCTGTTGTTTTCTCGGATTCGATCTTGAACAAACATCAGGAGCTGCAATGCCTCTGCGCGACTAGGGGGGCGGGGCGGGGGGGGCTGGGGGTGCTGGGGGGGGCTGAGGGGGCTGGGCTGGAAAGCTGAACGGACGGGGGGGGGTGGGGGGCGGGCTGAGGCCGGGCCGGGGTCTGGCCTCTTCGACCAAGTTTAGTACTGAGAGGCGTACCCGGGCGCGACATTTCGATCACAGAAACCTCTTTTCTGCTGTGCTTTTCTTGTGCTCGAAACGATCCGATTGTGTTTTTTTTGTGCTTTTCTTGTGCTCCAAAAACCAAACGTGTTTGTATGTTTGTGCTTTTTTTTTGTGCTTTTCTTGTGCTCGAAACGCTCCGGCTGTTGTGCTTTTCTTGTGCTCGAAACGCTCCGATTGTGCTTTTTTTTGTGCTTTTCTTGTGCTCCAAAAACCAAACGTGTTTGTATGTTTGTGCTTTTTTTTTGTGCTTTTCTTGTGCTCGAAACGCTCCGGCTGTTGTGCTTTTCTTGTGCTCGAAACGCTCCGATTGTGTTTTTTTTTTGTGCTTTTCTTGTGCTCCAAAAACCAAACGTGT